AAATATGATAAATGTCTGTACTTCGAGGTGTGTTTGCTAATTTGTGATATTGTGTGATGCTGATATACTAATTGTGTGCTATTGTACTGCTAACATAGTAATATATAATATATAATTCTGTGTGGGGAGTATTTTGGATATATTTTGATAATCTGCTGTCGACATTGAACTTTCATTAAATTGGAGTTGTGGACAATTGAACTTGGAACTGTGAAATAAACTTTTGAATCGTCGATAAGCGGCGTTAAGCTGTCAGTCCAAAGTTCTTGTTTGAAAAACATAGCAATAAAATTAATATGTCTATAAATTAAGAACAGTTTGTTAAAAAACCTTCCCAGGAAAAATTTCTTTTGGCTAAGAGGTCTGATTAGCTCAATCTTGCAAAACATTTTAATGTTGAAAACATTAAGTCTTCTATGAGATAACAAGAATTTTCAAAGGCACAATGTAGATTGATTGATTTTTTTGGCAGAAAAAGAAATTGTTTCTGAAGATTTTCTTGGAAAAATGAAAGTGTGAGAAACAACAAAAGCAGGAAAAACTCAAAGTTGAGCAAGTAATCAAATTTGCTTTCATTAAACATTGAGCAGTGTGCAATTTACAAAACTGCGAAAGAGTTTATTCTGAAAGGCTATGAATAAGTCCCTAAGGCATACACATAAACGTTTAGGAACTGTGAAAGAGTAAGTGTCCAAACTCATGTTGAGTTCTCGAGAATTAAAAATGAATTGTTTGATCGCTGGTGTTTGTCAAGAATGGTTGGAAAGCATTATGATAATTTACGCCAATTGATTCTTGTTGATGATTCCAAGAGTTTCATTTACTCTGATGTCAAGACCTTTTAGATGAGAAACAAATCAAAAGTTTAAATAAAGCTACACGTGTGGCTGATTAGTATTCTTTAACTAATAAATATCCTTTGTTCCTAAATCTATACATGAATATACTACCCCATCTGATTTCCTATTTCTCAATCATCGACTTCATCGTGATTTCTAAACTGTACAATTCTGTGTTACTAAATGTGTTTGGTTCAGGAGATGTCTGCAAATTGTAAACTTGGCGATAAAATGTAGCATATTTGTTGACATGTGCAAACGCTGTTGATGTTTACCATTTACCATTTATTAATCCTAAAACACATTTGCTGTATCAAAATCCATCTTTTATTCAAAGACTAATATATGTTACATCATAAAAGTATTTAATTTCTTTAGTTCTTATGGTTGGGATCTTAAACACCTGCTACATTAACTAAATAAAGTTTGCAATGTAATACAACTGATTAAATGTTAATTAATTCTTGAACGAAAGTGTCATTACTGACGTAAAGTACAAGACCATTATTTTATTTCTAAATCATAAAAATACAATGCATTTAATATGGAATCTTGTCTTTGCATGTCATTGCAAAATGAGTACTGTATGAAACAATTGGTTTGACAGGAATCTAAAACCTGGACCCGCTTTTCTTTGCAAAATTTTACTTGTTATCCAATATATTTTGCTTCGACCAGACCTTTCAATCTTTGACACAACAGAAAAACGTTTCAGAAAGTAAATTTATGCATTAGGTGTCACTTTTTCACAAAAATATGCAACTTAATTATTAACCAAAGAACGCATACCAAAAGCATAGAGAAAAAAACGATAAGTGCTTCTGATATTCAACTGAAATAGAGAACGATTTTCAAGATAACATGCGACTGTTCACATAATTTGGCTGCTTTTTTGATGTTCAACATCAACATTTAACATGTTTTTCTTTTAATTGCAGATGTTGTATTTACATAAATCAAGCTGTCCGTGATAATAGCCTCGTTTTATTAAGAGCAACGTGGTTTAGATCGCAAGAAGATGCGTATGTATTAGAAAGACAACTGAACGCTTCCAGAAGTGTAGAAGCGGAAGTGTGTAAATGCCAGCCTGAATATAAAGACCCATGTACAACACGCTCTGCCATAACGTCACTTCCTTCAATTCTCAAAGCCTGCACATTTTTGTTGATTTCAATCGTGACAAAAAGCTTCGTAAAATGTTGTTGATTCTGATATTATAGAATTTTCTGTTTAAAAGTTGCCACTGTTGATTTATAATTAATATATTTTAAACGCAAATATGTCAGTCTGTGTGGTATTGCTATCGCCATGAAAAAGCAAATTTTTATTTTCAATTTTAAAGAATAATGAACATTTTCCCTTATCATTATGTAAATGGATAGTCATAAGCAATAAACTGTCTCAAGTAAAAAGTCATTCAGAAATCCTTGTTCACCATAAAAACCAGCGATTATTCTATTTCTCTGTTCTATTCTGGTCTTTTCTCGTGTGTATTTATGTTTACTGTGTTGTCAACAACATTATTTTATATTTTTTATGTTTGATATTTGTTTTTTTTTCATATCTTTTTAATATTGCGTATTTATTTTATGCTTGTATTGTGTTTTTGTGTTATGAAAATATTTGGAGTACGTAACGTGTGTATGTATTTATGTGAGTCCGAAAAAAAATAAAACGAAAACGTTCGTTTTCTCGGCATTAACAGTATTGATCAAGTTAATTCCTAAAAATGTACACCTTATTAAGAATATGTACTTTACAACAGTTATTAGTCCCCAATCGGTTCAACCGGAGGGGACTTTAGGTTTACCCTCCGTCCGTCTGTCCGTCCGTCCGTCCGTCTGTCTGTCTGTATGTTTGTCCGTCCGTCCGTCCTTCAGTCAGTCAGTCAGTCAGTCCGTTCGTCCACAAACTGGATCCCGCGATAACGTGAAAAGTTCTGAATATATTAACACATAAACTGGATCCAGTGATGACACAAAACGTACTGAAAATATTTTTATGAAACTTGAAATATTGGTAAATGGTTGTCTGGAGATTAGGCATATCTTTGTTTTCTTCCTGTGTTCAAAATTGTGGTTGCTATGGCGACAAACATACTGAATTTCAAGATTTCTGATACTAGATTTTATGCTTTTTCACTATAAGTTCTTTTATTTCTTAAGAGGTTTTCTTCAAACATTGTATATAAGTTTCTTGTCATCAACCACACCATATGTGACAAGGTTTACAACTCACAAAAATTATCAGTATTACCTCCCATGAACTTTTAATTTTCATGAAAAAAATTTTTTTTTTCTTAAATACCTTCTTTAGTTCTTAATGTATCTAATTTAAGCTTCAAACATATGTTTCGTATTTTCACTCGACTTTTGTGAGGGGGTTCAATATTCTAGCAAGACTATTGCCAGAATTATGCCCCACTTGAACTTAGATTTTTCCAAGAAATTGGTATTTTTTATTCCAACATTTTTCTTTCCGTATAGGATTGACTTCAAACTCTCACATCATAATGGTATAACTAGGTTAATAAATTAAGAATCAACATTCCAGAATTATTTCCTTTTTAATTTTTGTATTTTTCTGTAACTTTCTTATTTATTCGTGGATTTACTTCAAATTCAAAATAAACATAATTTTTATATATAAAATAAAATGATTAAAATAATTGTTCTTTGTTACACTATAACATAAAAACTGTTTCCTGAGATCATTTTTATAGATTTTTTCAAACAATTTTACTTAAAATATAGAAAAGTTGAAACATTAGTTATACTTATTCATCCTGAGAAAATTGGACCTTTTGGTTATCTGTTGTTTTAACGTAATTTCCTTACTAGGCAGGGAAACTTAACACATTATTTTACTATGATATAGACAAAGCTAGAACTCAAAAGATTTAAGTTTATTCATGTCATTCATTCATTTATTCAATGGCATATTTGAATGGCCAATGACCCATCAGAGTGTTGCTGGGGTTCGTTCTAACCGGTAGGGGACTTATGGATTGCTTGCAATACTGTGATAATGGCTTGTTATAATATGATCAAGAATGGTTCAACTTTTCCCAGCACGTATTCGCCGAGTCTTTTTTTAATTAAACGTACTATTCTATTTTCATTTCAACATTATTGTGTTCGTGCATATAATACAATAACGAGTTTTCGTCTTGTCAGAAAATATTACAAAGTTTAAGTACAGTAATTGTGTTCAACCCTGTGGAGGAAGTTAAAAATGAATCTTCAATAAGATATTTATATATGTGCAGGTAGAAAAGAAACCTGCCCTAATTCTTCATTATGACAACTTGTATGATTATTTTATATTTGGTACAAACGTTAGACAGTAAATTAACGTTTGTTCATTTAAAATAGTTTTCCTGTAATGCTGTTCCGCAAAAAATCTAACATCGACCAATATCTTAACAAATTGATTTTTTTTCTTCAAAATCTTGGACATTAGATTATTTACAATCACTCATCATTTATCGCTTTTGTACTCAATTCAGGTTATAAACGGTTAAAAATTAATGGGTAACTAAGATTATGAAAAATAAAATTCCGGAAATTAATTAATAATTACGATATTGGCCGATGTTAGAAAACTTTGGGCAGGGAAGCATTTGAGTAAGACTCCCTGAAATAAACCATATGGGATATACATTTGTCGTTAATCTTCGAACAAACCATATCAAAAACTACAATTAGAAGTGCAAATAAAGTAAAAACTATAGGTCAGGTTCTATGAGAATTTGCTACTTTTTAACAAAGTAGGACACCTAATTCAATGCACGATCAGTTGTTTGGCTTAACGAGAAACTTATCTGGTAAGAGAAACTTATCTGGTAAATATTTAATCGGATGTCATAAATAAATATTTGGTACAAATTGAATATAAGGTTACATTTATTCTTTGACAGTATGCCTGCTTTATAAATTTATCTTTTTTCATCTTATCTGTGATATGCAGGTTTCATAACCTCCTTTTTTGTATCTCTTACTTTTTCTCAAGAACGTCCAAAACGTCAAAATTGTTAATGTGGCCGACTCTGTTGGGTTGAGTCTGTTCATAGGATATGATGGGAAGTGCGAGTCGTTCAAGTCTGGTAAAGTAATAAATCTTAACAACTTGCACACACAAATAAAAGTAAAGAATGCAAAATATCATTGAATTAGTTTATTCCTTCTGTAATTTATAATTAACAAGTGTCAGATTTTTGTCGAATTTAATGACTTTGATTACTGTCAAACATTTATAAGAACACCAGTGAAAGATGGATATCTGTGCTCATTTGCAAGCATTACTAGGTTATTGAATGTACTCTGAACATACACTCGTTCACCAGTTGTAAGTCTTGCCGGAATCGTTGCCGAAGTGCAGATACTTGTCGTCGCGCTGTGTGTTGTTGTAGATGTTATTCTAGTATTTTCATGAACAATAGCTGCAGTCATATATTTTCCATCGGCATTACAAATGTTGATGCTGAATTGGTACATCCCAGATACAGGGGCTGTGAAGATCCCAGTGCTTTCATTATAACCACCGCCTTCATTAAGTAACACGAGAGGAAATACGATAGATTGGTTGACCCCGTAATTTCCACTACCCGTACTGTAATATGCGTTAAATGCTACTTTCGGTGTTGCATTGATAACTGAAAGTAAAATCATGGGAATTTTAAGAAAAGGTCAAACCTGTTTATTATAGTAATAACGCAAGGAATAGGATAACATTATTCTATAAAATACTTATAATCAAATAATGTTTATGTAAAAATGTATGTAGCAAATAATATAATTTAAGAAATCACTTTTTTACATATATCGTGAGGAAATATCTTTTACTGTTATAAAACTGTATTAATATCACCTCAATGATGCAATCCGTCAAATTATTGAATAATGTGAAATAACAGTGTTAAACTCGAAAGTTTAGTCAGGCATTTATTGTAAAATATAAAGCTGAAATTTACCACACTCCTGTGATTCTGCTGTTTCCAGAGTAACCAACAGCAACACACAGATCTGAAATATCACTTATAGAGTAATGTTATAAAAATGAACATTATTCAACTTTGTTACGGTTGTTTGATAAATATTTTACTTGTTACTAAGACAATAGCTCTAGTGATATTATGGGGATTTTAATTGTTAATCACAGCTTTAATTAGTAAAAATGCATATAAGAATTTCTGTTTCAGAATTCAACGCTCAATAGAATATAGATTATTTTAAACAGATTATTGTCTCACGAATTACACGGGAAAATAGTCATACCAAGTAAGGAACGATTGATTTCATCATGCTTTACAGATTGGCAATTTCCCAGAAGGCAAGAACTAACTGAAAATACAAAAAGTAGAATTAACGGTAACACAAAATGATAAAATGCTGTTTTGTGCCAAATTCATATCTGGTGTATCTAACTTCTTTCTTTATATTTTCAGCACTTTTTAATACGTTTATATGAACTTGGTAAGTAACCTTGAGAACACACTATCTGTGGATAACTGAAGTTATAACTTCATTCGCGCAAGCGATGGACATGTATACTTATGAGCTGGGATTTTCCATGAAGCTTAATAAACACGTTTCAAATAGATATAATTCTATAAAATCTACTATGGAATTAGTCATCTTTGTACCACGTGATTGCTTCATAGAACAAGTAATGTTTAATCGAATGACTCTCGAAGTGCTTCTAGGAAGCACTGCCAAATCGAACATGCCTTAAGTCAAGTTTGAAATGAAGGACCAACTATTACGTTGATATGACTAAACTACGGATCGGAGATTTTCTGGCGCAACAGACAATATTTCTTAAGCAAAACAGGCACAACGTTTGTTTTTGTTATGAATACAGTGTAACTTTGTCTTAAAATGTAACAGAGATGGTTACTATAGGTTGTTTTGAAGGAGTCTATGACACTGAAAGCGATGTTTTTTTTTTTACTTAACTTCAAGATACCGTAAACACAATAAAATCATGCAAGCACAATTACAAACCTTATCTGTTCTGAAATAATATTGTTATGTCCACATGATGACTGCTAACATTGATTATAATTAAGATGAACGTGTTCATCCGACATCTGTACAAAGTAATTCTTGAGTAGTCAGTCATCATGCGAGAGAGAAACAGTAATTTCTATGTCATCAGTGCCTTATTAAACATGTATTGCTAATTAAACAAGAAAAATATTACAAACATTCGTATGTTATTAATATAGGTACGATTGCTAACAAACTTCTGTGAAGACTTTTTATGCTTGCTTCATGAAAGGTACTATGAAATATGAACAAACATGTCATCAGATCTTTTATGTTTTTAAACGTTTTCATGGAATGTAATAAATGTATCATAATATCAACGTTGTTTGCCTTCTGATGAAAAAAATTACTTAACGAAAAGAACAATGCACGACCAATTTACTGCTCTTAAACTTCAACACAAAATTACACATCTTCCACTGAACAGACCACATCAAAATCTTGCAACCCACAGACTCAACAAAAACAAGCGCTTGCTTCTTTACCTAATTATGTAGTTGCATGACCATGATTTGCAAACCAAACATAATTACATAAACCCACTAGACAATCAACTAGGTCATACATGTCATAAAGTTGTTTCGAAACAAAAGAAAGATCTAATTTGTATAAAGAACTAATTAAATAATTGTCAAATACATGGATCTCTTTTACTCATAAAGTCATTTTAATTAAATATAGCAAATATATAATGTAAATAATGTTTAAGAAGAAAAGTGAAAATAAGATTATGTTATTCTGTACTCACGTGTATCACTGACTTGACTTCTACGTTGTATTCGCCTGTTGTCTGTAGCACACTAGGTGCTGAATTTATACTGTTTGCCTCGTAACATATTGCATCATTTCAACAGCAAAATCGGCTGACAAAGCAACAGAAGATATGATTCATTTGCTTAATTCTTTGTTTGATAACAATAACATAAAAGAACAAGAGTTTCGATTGAGATAAGATTTTGTAAGCAGTTGCTTAATTTGTAAAACCACGTGAGCAAAAATCTCTAAAATCATTCCGAAAATAACCATATAGTTTCTGCAAAGTAGGACGACGATCTGTCGCGGGAGATGTGATTGTAAATGTTCTAGTAACATGGTAACATAGTTTCTCAGGGAGCAGCCAAATTGATGTATTGATATGATTTGTCCTAGTTGCGTCATACGGTTTCCAAAGAACAACTGTTGTTAGAAATACACAGGATAATGTTATCTGAAAAAACATGCGAACCCATACAGATTTATGCTTTTAGATTATATAGGCCTATGGTTTGTAATGCTAGACATGTGATTTATATAATTGTTGAATTCTCCACAAAAGAACATAAGTTACCACACATGTACTCACACGTACATATCGCATACATGATGTTTCAATCAAAAGTGAATGTTTATACGAGAGTTGGTAAGAGACTAATGGGACTCACAGTCTTGCACCATCTATTCAATTTCAAAAATATTCATATTAAAGCGATCGTGAAAATTTTCTACAATTTGAGCATTAGTTTATTAAACTAATTGTGCTAAATGCTTGTTTCCTGAAATAACCATGGTAACACACACCCGGCGCAGCAAATCAAACAATAATATTGCATTTCAGCTGTACTTCATATCAAGTTTTAAACAGAAGGTATCATAGCGTTGAATATAAAATTTGACGTTTGTTAAAACAAACGGTAGTGTTGTGCATATGTTCAATTTTGCGAATATATATTATCAATGCTCTTTCAGATACATACGAAAAAATATTGAAGGACAATTATTCGGGCACCAGGCCACTCGTTTTCAGAAGGCGCAGGCAAGACTGCGGATACGAGATTTGTACAAGTAAAAGAAAAAAATGACGGAACGTTAGTGACGCCATTTGCAAAAGCACTTCAAAATGGTCGACAGCAACAACAGCATGTTTGATATATATACGTCGGGTCTCCTTTTTCAAATCTGACCAAGAAATTAAATATGAGATATATGAGACATTTGTTTTTAACAATACTTTATTTACTTTCAACAATATATACGTGTTAGCAATAAATTATAGGCACTCCACTGAGGCTCATAAGGCTACAAACATATAAAATTATAATTTTTACATAGATCAACATGTGCACTTAATACAGAAATATAAATAAAATATTACTAAGAAATATACAAGAAATACACTGAAAATCGTATGTTTGTACTATTCTCTATCCGATTTGAGTGAAAAGCGTTTAAACACTTTTCAATTTTGGGTCATTTTTCACAATTCTGATAATTATTATGGAATAAACGGAGCGAGCTATTAATCTGTTTGCACATAACTTATTAGAATAGATCTAAATCAAATGGAATAATAATCTTAAAAGAATATTTCCAGTCCCGTCATGTCAAAAAACCTCAGTGGAGAGAAGAAAAAGAGAAGAAAAGTAAGAAAATGTATGTTCACAAATTTTATGTAGCAATTTGTAATAATGATATATAAATGAAAACAGTATTCAGCATGTGCGTGCAGTAAACAAAAGAACACAGTTATGTATATAAGATAACATTCTGGGTTTTACAATAGTACCTATATTTAAGCTAAGATAAATGCCGTGTGTAGAATTTGTATTATGTAATACAATACGTGAAACATATGTTGTAATTTTCTAAAATGTTTTGTTTTATAGCTATAACGTTTATGTCTTTCGATGTGCCTTGGATGAATCATTTATTCAAAGGCCCATCTTTTATTCAAAGGCCTACTTCATATGCATATTTTGGTATTGAATAATCTAGGACATGCCTGGTAGCATGTGTTGCTATTATGACAAACTCACAATTGTACAAAATCAGATAATGACAATTGACAGTCTTGTCTCAAAGGTATCATATGAAACACCTTTGTTCAATTGCTGTTCATTTTCAAAGAAACTGTTATGTTTAATGAGAGGCAGAAACAAGGAAGACAATAACCTTTTTACATCGTTGAGTGTAAGTATCAATGTATATTTGTATATATAATAGATATGCATTTGTTCATATAGCAATGGGGAAAAATTAAGACTTTTTTGTGCATTTTTGTCTTGGTTTAACAAAATCACATTGTTTTCAAATTTTCTAATAAAAATAGCTTTTATTTTAAACAATTTCAAGTCTTTATTACTCCAGATGATATTTTTAGGTTAAGTGGTCTTTATGTCATACCTTGTTTATCCCTAAAATACCTACAGCGGTTTAATTTCGTAGATATTTATATAAAATGAAATTTTGTGACAAATTTCCATAACACAGTTATTCCAACCATTTAATTGACACTACAATTATATATAATGTGTAACCAAATCCAAAACTGAGAACACCACCCTGGAAGTGTTTAAAGTTACATTAAATAAATATGTAAAAATATTTTGCCGTCGGCCTAAAAATCAAACATTCTACAGTTTCATTAACCTGTTTAATAGTATTGTTGTAAATCTCATCAAATATTGTTCATAAATTAGGATTTTAAACGGGAAACCCCACGGTAACACTAAAGTTCGTATACGAATTTTAACATGCAAATGAAGACTATAATGAGCTCGTGTATGCGCTACGTCACAGTTTTATATATGCTATCCGGAACACAGCAAATGTGATATTTTCTTGTGCAAACACAGTTTTACCGTTTAAGCTTCACGGTGCACTAAACCTGGGGTTCAGTAAAAGTAATCATCTCGTAAAAAGATTAAATTTGTATGAAAACATCCGTTACAATGCGGAAATATACCGTTAAATTAGGACTGCCACTTATAGTCATGTTTGTTGATTTAATATTGATGTACGGATGATCCGAAGGCGGGGTTTCTCATGCAAACAGAAATTGTACTTCCCATTTCGCCACAATGACGTTACCTATTTTCATGCTAATAAAACTCATTTTAGTTGTTTGGACACCAAAATAAGACCTGGAGTCGATATAAAACCCAGTTTATTAATGAAATGTCGCTATTTAGTTTTTTATGAAATTTATTAAATGTAACTATTAGTTTTTTTATAGTTTTAAATGCAATGAAAGTGTTTTGAGGCATAAAACCAATAACGGTACGTGTATAGTGTAAAGACTCGTGTACATTAGGGCTTTGTGTTTATACCAAAAAGTGAAAACAAGCAGGACAACGTATATAAAGATATAACAATAAATAACAAGTTAAATGTTGATGCTGCATATCAAAGACGCCTCCAAATGATGCGAACAGTCTTCATAATGATTATGACTGTTTATAGTAATTTAATAGTCGTGTCTACGAACTTTCCGGACAACCCTCGTATATTCTTAGTTACGTTTTCTTTTCTTATTTATGAAGATTAAACTACCTGATTAAACTAAAGATTGCATATTCGCCTAGAATCTACGTATAGGACCACTAAATGTAGTAAAAAATCAAGGTGAAAGAGAACAATCGTCAGTCACGGAATCCTTCAAAATAACCTATTGCAAATATTTGTGATACATTTTAAAATAAACGTACCTTTTTTCAATCTGTTAATCTGTTTTATAACTGAAATTTTAATTATATTCATGAATTACATGTCGAACACGTTTTGCCTGTTTTGCAAAAATATTTCCGCTGTGTCCGTACCTCTTGTTCCCTGTCCGAATTTGGTTCCCGCGATCGACTATAGGCTGGCTCATTGGTACGTTATTTATTAGGTATAGATCAAATTAAATAACTATAAAAAGAATTTGATATTCAAACATGGCACTATCACTTCAGTTAAACGTTTATTTTAATCCCTTAAAGCTCTGTGACATGTTGTACATCAGAAAAGCTATAATTTTTATTTGAAAATTTGAAAACAATGTGATTTTTTCAAAAAAAAAAAAAGCACAAAATCAAGTCTTAATTTTTCCCATTGCTATACGAACAAAAGCATATCGCACGCGCTCTTGAAAATGCAGGTAGATGTGAACTTATGTAAGGGAAACTAATGCGTAGTCTTCCTTCGCCTTATGAGTGTATTCGATTTGTCTACCTTATTATATCATGCAAACGGACTTTTTTTGAAAAATTAAGTCGGTGAAAGTTTTTGTTTTGGCTTATTTACATAATGTTTTTTATATTTCTTACCATGATTAGTTGCTGATAATTGTAGAAAATCAGTTACATTATAGGTGAAAAAGAAAATGTACATACTTTGATATTTTTTTATCATCTTTTATTACTGACTACAGTAATGACACAAACAGAACAATGTTGCACTACTGTCATGTCATATTACAAGTATTGTTTGTGTTGGAATTACTTTCCTAACCAGGTAGGCATAAGTGAACGCATATTTTATTTATCTTATATCTGACCCTCTTGATGGACAGTGCATAAGTAAAAAAAAGCAACAGAATAGTCGGAATAATGTACATTAGTACTTAATATAAATATAACATGACCTTTGCTTGGGAATGATTTGGTAAGGTATCTGTAATGAGCGCATTTGTTTGGTTTTTTTTGTTTTGTTTTTATTTATTTATTTATTTATTTATTTGCTTCTATTGCAGCAACATTTGTATTCGTTGTAGTAGTATTCGGCACGTTTTTTATTCATTCATACAGTTCACAAAAAGGGAGATAATTCTATTCCGTTTTTTCAATAGCAGAACATATCATAGGTACTTGGTTTCGGGATAAAATAACCCTTTGAGAGGTTTGTAGAACTCAAATATAATTAAATGTTACAATTTTTTTAACGTAGATGTCTCTTTTCTAAAACCGTCATTTTCCCGATATTACTAGTAATATCGGAAAAATGACGGTTTTAGGAAAGAGACATCTACGTTAAAAAAAATCGCTACATTCAATCAAATTTGAGTTCTACAAACCTCTAAAAGGCTTTTTATCCCGAAACCAAGTGCCTATGGAACATATGTTTTAATTTAGACCATCAACCTTGAAACCTTTTTTCCCCAGGAAAATGGCTTACAAACCAGTAATCTACGTTCTCATTGCATGCTTGGTTCTTCAGCCGGCCAGTGGTACGTAAATAGGCTTTATGCTTATTAATTTTTTTTCGTTTGTTGTTGTTGTATTTAAGTAAAAGGATTCTTAACGGTCCGTTTAAAGTTGATTAAAGTAATAATACAGGAAAGGAAACACATCACAGTAGTGATTGCACAATATAAATGACAACGCATTTATCTGTCAAACAAACTTATCATATTTTTCCAGCTGCAGATGTGCTATACGCCATCGCGGGAGGAGTTGCGGGAGAGTTGTGGCCCCTATTGCAGTCCCTACGGCGATTGGAGCCGCAAAGATTGGCATGACTGGATATATAGGAGCAGGAGTGCTTAGAGCGACGCTTGGGGCTAAATATGAGAAGTCGAAAAGTGAAAACGACTAATTGTTATATATCTTATAGAAGTCGAACTTGCAGAAAATGTTTAATATTATTGCAAATATGTTAAAAACGATTTTATGAAAAGATATATAAGAAAATAATGTCCTGGGATTATAATTTGGTCTTAAAGGTACATGGGAAAGTACAAAAAAATGGTATTCGATATCGAAAACGTATACAAGTTAAACATAGTTTACATTCGTGATTTTTTTCATTTTGTTGTTGTTTAGCTTTTTTTTCGGGGGGGGGGGGGGTAAGTGGTTTTTTGTGCCCCCACGTTAGTGGCGGGCATTTAGATTTACCCTTGTCCGTCCGTCCGTCCGTCCGTCTGTCCGTCCGTCCTTCCGTCCGTCCTTCCGTCCGTCCGTCCGTTCACTTTTGTGTCGCACGTAACTCAAAAAGTATTTGACCTAGAGTCATGAAACTTTACAGGAATGTTGATCAGCATGTGTAGTTGTGCACCTGGGTATTTTCGTCTGGATATTTTTAGTATTTTCAGAGTTATTGCCCTTGACTTAGTAAAATTTTGCAATTTTCAACTTGTGTCGCATGTAACTCAAAAAGTATTTGACCTAGAGTCATGAAACTTTACAGGAATGTTAATCAGCATGTGTAGTTGTGCACCTGGGTATTTTCGTCTGGATATTTTTAGTATTTTTAGAGTTATTGCCCTTGACTTAGTAAAATTTTGCAATTTTCAACTTGTGTCGCATGTAACTCAAAAAGTATTTGACCTAGAGTCATGAAACTTTAAAGGAATGTTGATCAGCATGTGTAGTTGTGCACCTGGGTATTTTCCTGTGCATATTTTTAGTATTTTTAGAGTTATTGCCCTTCACTTAGTGAAATTTTGCAATTTTCAACTTGTGTCGCACATAACTCAAAAAGGATTTGACCTAGAGTCATGAAACTTTACAGGAATGTTGATCAGCATGTGCAGTTGTGCACCTGGGTATTTTGGTCTGGATATTTTTAGTATTTTCAGAGTTATTGCCCTTGACTTAGTAAAATTTTGCAATTTTCAACTTGTGTCGCATGTAACTCAAAAAGTATTTGACCTAGAGTCATGAAACTTTACAGGAATATTGATCAGCATGTGTAGTTGTGCACCTGGGTATTTTCGTCTGGATATTTTTAGTATTTTTAGAGTTATTGCCCTTGACTTAGTAAAATTTTGCAATTTTCAACTTGTGTCGCACGTAACTCAAAAAGTATTTGACCTAGAGTCATGAAACTTTACAGGAATGTTGATCAGCATGTGTAGTTGTGCACCTGGGTATTTTCGTGTGCATATTTTTAGTATTTTTAGAGTTATTGCCCTTGACTTAGTGAAATTTTGCAATTTTCAACTTGTGTCGCACGTAACTCAAAAAGGATTTGACCTAGAGTCATGAAACTTTAAAGGAATGTTGATCAGCATGTGTAGTTGTGTACCTGGGTATTTTCGTCTGGATATTTTTAGTATTTTCAGAGTTATTGCCCTTGACTTAGTAAAATTTGGCAATTTTCAACTTGTGGCGCACATAACTCAAAAAGTATTTGACCTAGAGTCATGAAACTTTACAGGAATATTGATCAGCATGTGCAGTTGTGCACCAGGTATTTTCGTCTGGATTTATTTAGTATTTTTAGAGTTATTGCCCTTCACTTAAAATTTTTTTGCAATTTTCAACTTGTGTCGCAAGTTTCTCAAAAAGGATTTGACATAGTCAATAAACCTTATGGGCAGGTTGCTCAGCATATTTATATTTGCACCTGGGGTTTCGCTTGTGGATTTATCCAGTATTTGTAGAGTTATTTCCCTTGACTTAGTGAAAAGATTGACAGAACAGTGTCGTGGTGGGGGCACCCGTGTCCTATGGACACATTTCTAGTTTATTTTTGTTTTACATTTTGTCACATTAATGTTTATAAAAAAGGTTCAAGTTATTATCCTAGGACAGTACCTCTGACACGTTAACGGCTTCTGTGATTTCACTTATCATCATTATTTTGTACTTCCGCCATTTTGATATCATGAAATTGCATATTAACCATATAAGAATGCGAGCACTACTATTAAAAAATCATTATATCTATTGCACACTTCACTTTGTGATATTTCCACCTCAAATCTTCAATTTTTATACTGAACTGTTACATTGGATAAATAATTTTAAATATATTTTATTAAGTACTGTTTTATTATAAGGGGTATACCAACAATTATAACAATACCAACTTTAACCAAGTTAAACTTTTGTTCAGCATAAATGTTTATATTTAAAATGAGATAATAATACTTAAAAAAGTAAAACGTTCATGTACTGATGTCACCTCACTACAATAAATTTCTTTTATCTTTTTATATCATTTGTTTGAATGCGTCCAACTGACCACAAAGTTGAACTTTTGTGATGGCAATGCCTTTAGGGACCGTCCGTCATCCGTCGTTATTAGAAACAACATCCCTCCTAAACCACTGGCTGATTTTGATCAAACTTTACAGTTATGACCCTCTGGTTGTCCTGAATTTTTTTATATAAAATGGTCCCTGTCCGATGCAAAAGTATGCCACAAGAGTTAAAGGTAGACTTCATACATGCCACAAGCTAAAGACGTCCTTGGGTAAAAATTTACGAAAGCCCGGTAGTGCCATTACAACTTAATGAATTCCCGATTTCATCTTCGTGTATTCACAATTTCAACTTTATTCGGAATTTATACCATATTATATATATGCAAATATTGAATTCAACTTCGTGAATAAACGATTTCAACCTCGTGAAATCACGAATTCAGCTTCACGTATTCAACTTCGTAAATTCCAAATTAAACTTCATGAGTTGAAATCGCGAATTCGCAAAGTTGAAATCGTTGATTCACGAAGTTGAATTCAAAATTTGTATATATTTTACGGATAGTAATTTAGTTGTTGATGAGTATATATATTAAATAGTAAACGCGTGCTGGATAGCAATTTGGTTGTTGATGATCAAGGGGCGATTATTTTATGATAATTTGAACATAATTGACATGGCAAATGTGCCGAGCGCCAGCGACATGCCTCTAAATATGTAAACGGTTGTTTGGATATATAACTCCAGCCGATAGGTTGCAAACAACCGTTTACATTCGGCCATATAATATGTTAGGAATCCTTATAACGAATCTATAAAACAGCAAACTGTGATAAGAGAAAAACAAAGATTTCTTCAGAAATAGAAAAGAAGCCGAGTAAATCATAAATTATATGATAAAGTTTATTATAATACTGCACATTTGTAACGTCACTTTTAAATGGATAATCGTTTATATAGTTTTAGATATTTTTATGAAGAAATCTCACTTTTCTCTAAAGATAATGCTTGTTTTATTATAAATTCGTTTAAATATTTCGTGTATTTCGTTTTTTTTGCAATATAACCCTCGCCTCACAGATCGGGTTATATTTCCAAGCAACCGTTTATATAGGGCCATATAGCATGTCAAAAATATTTATAACTAATAATAGTGTACACGGCTGTTGTCAATTTATGAAGAAATCTTGTTTTTTTTTCCTGAATGAAAATGATGCATGACTAGCAGCTCGGTAATATTTCCGAACAACCGTTTTATATAGGGCCATAAAACATGTCAAAACATCTTTATACCTAATAATATAAGAGTTTTAGTGTTGATGGTCATACATATAACAAATATTACTCTGTTTTACATGTGTTTTTATTCTTATATAAATGTTGACATTCCCCTCTATATTATTTTCTTTCTCTTAATGACACCGTGCCTTTTAGTTTAACATTTGTTTCATTATTAAAGTGTAGAGATCTATACGCTAGCAACATTATGACGCTACAAATAAGATAAGATAATATTTTACTTACAGTAACGATTTTTGTTTACATTTAAATGGTTAAGTTACTAGCATCGGTAAACTTAAATTCAACAAATCAAGTACCATATAAATGTTTATTTTATGAAGTTATACTTGAACAATTATCTAAAATTATATAAAATAACATCATCACCAAATACCAGAACGGCAATATGTAAATTAAACTATAAATAAGTAAATCTATATTAAATTGTGTATTTGGTTTATTTGAGTTTGCAATACAAATATACTACTTCTCACGCATTCCACTTAATATCTACAGTACAATGGCCAGTTACCCGCTTATGAAACATTGTCTTTTGGCTTTGCAATGCACCACAATAGAATGTTAACAGTCATATTTTACCTTCACCTTAAACCGAAAATTAAGTTGTAAAAACTTGAAGTGTAAAGAATTTCAGTGATGTGATAGTTGTATATAATCAACTCGTTTATGGTCATCTAACCGTGCTAAAAAATCGCGATCTTATATAAGCGTTAAATTAGAACAAGCTTTTAAAAATACAGGTTTTTCACATACAATTGCTTGTTTTCGGACCTACAAGATGGCTTCTTTTCGGCGGATATTTTTGTTATTTTTTCTACTGAGTGCATGTAAGTATCGTTTGATTTTTATGTTCTTTTTAAAAACGGCATGCACATAATTTTAATAAAGTGCTTAATTTGGTTTTATACTATTGTATGCTATTGTTGTAATTACGTACCAACTTAAACTTTCAGCGTTTGGTCACACCTTGATAGAAAACGTGAAAAGAAAAAAGAACAAAAACTTTGCATTGACGTAACATTTAAAAACTGTATACATGAAATGTGGTAGCCACTCTTGAGCGAAAGATCGATAGAATTATAATCACTAATATAAACAGTTAATATGTAATACAAAAGTTAAAAGGTCTTTTTAGGTCACACCCGTTTTAGCCATAGAATTTCGACCGCATAATAGTACGTTTAAAACATACACAGCAAATTTGCACAATACAAGTACAAGTTTGTTTACTCACACTCACGTGAAATAGATCTTGTGGGGTTTTTATGCAATAATATACCATTTTGTGAGACTGGGTTGAGCTTTCAGAACATTTCCCTCAGACAAGTTAAATAAAACTTATAAAACATTAGTGAAAAGGAGTAGCAGTTATGTAAATTTTTAAATATTTTTTGCAACTCAAATATAGCTTAAATGTTCCTTAGACGTCGAGTAGTAATAGTTCAAGGGTCAATAAGTAGCAGCATATAGTTTAAAGAAATATATACATGAGGCACTGTACGGGGTAACAGTGCCTGTCCAGATATCTCTACAGTGAAATTTATATAAACAGGGCGAATTTGTTAGTCCAGATTACGATAAGGGCCCATATATAATATATTGTATTGATTTAAGAGTTTGAAATATGCCTCTTTATATCAAGATAAATCGCCTCTAACAATACACGTGTATCTCTATCAAGCGCAATCAGACCTTGACCTTTTTATTGAATCAACCATTACTCTAACTCTACCTGTAAAAAAAGAAACCAAACAAATACAAAATGGTTAAACAATATCGGAAAGGCAATATTAACCTACGAGATTCAAATATGCGCTATATGCTATTTAAAGGGGAGCTAACTGGTCATACACTGGCATTCCGAACTCTGACGGAAACAGCCGATAAGTTGAAATTGCAATGAAGTGCACCTGTCCTTGACTTTGCTTCTGTAAATTGTCATTAAAGTTTAAATAGGTTTTCCAATGATAAAGTACTTATTCCGCATTTCGTATAATATAATTATTTGAAATGAAGCTGAAATTCTTATTTATTACAGCTGAAATGGCACGAGGTGGAACGGTACCGAATTCTCCGTGCTCAAGTGCAAATCGTGCAGCAAATACGGCTTTATGTTTGAATGCCATCAATGATTTGCTGTTTGATACCAGTAAATTTTGGTTCGGGGACGAATATGTAAAGAATTGTCCGAATGGAATGGCCAGTGGTATGCAGTGTGCAAATCCGAAACCTTCGGGAACCAATCTCGCCAACCGTACGTTCACAAACACGTCGATAGTAGAGAATGTTGATCGATTCCTGGAGCTACATTTCGAGTCCGGAGGGAGTAAGTACAAATGAAAGAATATCACTATTCCGCTACGATTTCTACATAGAATTTCTAATCATGATTTTTTTTATATTTTCTTTTATTTATCATTTATTATTAGCTCTTATTATTTTTTTTTTGCATGAAGGCAGTCAAAAATGCTCCGATAGATTCCACGATTATATATACATGTATATACCTACACATATATACATTACTTGTACTGTTTGAAGGAAATAAATCATATAATAGTGTACATTACAAGAAAAAATGTCTTTTATAAAAGATATACCATTTTATTATATAATTATAAATGAAATATTGAGAAATATTGATGAAGTAAAACGCGTATTTTCATTTTCCGTATTTTCACTGTAAAAAGTTATTTTTCACTGCTGTGAAACATATCTTCCGTATTTTCATTGGAGTCTTGCCGGAATACTTTCTTTTTAATTCAGCCAATACAAAAAATTAAAGGGAAAGTCTTTCAAATTGTTATGTCAAAATGAGAAAAAAATGTATATAATAAACAGAAAATTCAAGTATTTTCTATATAAGTACAGATTTTATTTTTATCTTGTGGTAATGCTTATCATAAATCATTAAATTATCATTTTAACTCGAGGTTACCGCCACTCATGAAATGAGCCGCGTCACGACAAAACCAACGTAATGGGTTTGCGACCAGCATGGATCCAGACCAGTCTGATCAGGATCCATACTGTTGGCTTACAAACACAATAACAAGTAGAGAAACTGATAGCGAACAGCATGGATCCTGATCAGACTGCGCGGCTGCGCAGGCTGGACTGGATCCATGCTGGTCGCAAACCCACTATGTTGATTTTGTCATGACGCAGCTCATTTATAGAAAAGATTTTGTATATCCTTTATTAATTGTACTGATTAAATATCTGTATAATCGCTAGATGCGAAACATGATAATTATATTTAATACATGTAATTAAATAAAAAGAAACGGTGTTATTTATCCTATAAACCTAAGTTATTTATTTAAATAACAGACATAATATAATCCACACAGTCCTGCCCAAAAATATATTTATCTCATTTGAAGTTAAGACTACAACTGTATCTTTTACATTCGGTTATTTCCGTACATTTACGTGATCTAGTACAATTTCAGAATATAACGATTGAAATAAAATACAATTTCCGTGCAAATGCACCGACGCCTGGAACGCGAGACACACTACCAAATACTTTTGAGGGGATTTCTGTAACTAAATATGTTTAGTTTTATTTTAGAAAACTATACAGCATGTGGCAATCATTTCGTAACAAACGAGACCTGGTCACAAGACATTGACCCAACGTCTGACGTCATAGTGTACCCTTGGTACGTACGGCACTTTCCAGCGTCTGTTAATTGGGATTATGACAGTGGTGATTTATTTACACTGATGGTATATGACATCGGGTACTTTGTGTCACATGGTATCTACGTCAACATTGAGGGTGACGACATGACAACGGCAGAGGTACGTTAACGTTTCCTATTTTTAAACAACGGCTTAGGACTCCGGGTACCGCAGTTAAGGCAGAACACTACAAATATCTTGTTCTTTATCGTTTTAGAATTAAAGTCCCCGTGTCTAATTAATGTTGCTTTTTTCCATGTGAGACAATTAATTTTACTGGTTACCTATAGAAAAAAAACTGTTATGCATCTCGTAAAGGCATTTCCCAGCATGACATACATCTCTGAATTGCATCACGTCTTTAAAATGCCGTTTGTTTTCACAAATTATTTTTTTGAACAATGCAAAGAGCTTCGTGTAGTATTCTTTTGAATCGGTCTTCATAATGTTCACGTAACATTTGTGATTTATTATTGAAATACACTGTACATATTGTCGAAAAGACAATATTCATGACGTATTTTCGTATTTTGAAATATATATCTGCAAAATTTTCCATATTTAGGTTATCAAAGAATACCATGGACCTTTAGTATCAACACAACTTCACATCCCCTACATGTTTATGTTGTTTAAACAAAATGGTCGAGTATCAGTTACCGAGGAGTGGAAGACAAAGGTGAATTATGAAAACTGGGGACTTGTTTGGACGGTGGAAGAATTTTTAAGCTCTATTAATCTTAATAGTAAGTGTAAATATGATAGTGTATCTTAATGACACCCGAGGGTTTTATTATTTAGTACTGTTTAATTTTAAGTCGGTGCTAGGGGGCGTGTACTTTCCACTGCCGTACATGAACCGCCTTTATCAGAATTTTGTGTTTTCCCGTTTTGCGCGTTCTTTGCAGTTCCTTTTTTTGTCTATTTTTTATGTTCATGCTCCATACACATGTTTAAAATTATATTAATTTAAGAACTTTTGTCGTTCGGAAGACCTATATAACTGAAACTTGAGAAATTTGGTTGAAGTTTAAAACGCTTTAAGAACGTTTATATCTTATTGTGTGCATGTAAAACTTTTAGTTTTATAATCATACATGTATTTATGTGGAAGAAAAATGATGATCATCGAGAAAGTTTGGACGAGGGAGAAACAGTCTATAAAATGGGTCAAACCGTAAACGCAAAACTACATTTATAATTAGGCTACATTTTTTATTTTTTGAAACTCAGATATGGTTGCTGTGAACTGGATTGTCGCAACAGGAGACGCTTACGCTGCGCAAACTATGATGGACAATCGTGTCATTGTCATGTGCCCTGCTTACGTCACAAAGGGTAAGACAATTTTAATATATGACAGAAAATATCCTCCTTTTGGAATTAGTCAAGCCGCGATCATATGATGGTACTTATTATGAAACATTTATCATTTATAGCCTACAACATAATGTATCTATAATTAGAAACCATTAGTTAAATGCTTTATTAGCCGACGAATCAAAAACAACGTTACAGAAGATAATGAACATCCGGTGTATATAATGGATTCGGACAAAGTTCTTTCTGTCTCAGTGTATATTTTAATAGTCAGGTTCAAAGACTTGTTCATCATAAATTTTTTATTAACTTACGAGCTCATATGTTGCCTATGAAGTCATTTGACGACCTATTTCGAAGATAAAAGAATAGCTAGAACAGCGAATTTTTGTATGAAAGGGTGTAAAATAAAATGGTTCATACAAGTCTACTTGAAGATTTAAAGCACTTTTGAAAAGTTTATATTCGCACGTTAAAATATGTTTGAAGGGAATTAGTGACCTTGCTGAGCACAAACATTCAGTCTGGCTGTGAACTGGCCTCGATGTTACACAACTTTTTTTCTGAGTTCTGCCTCAAATCTCAGGATTTTCACTGGTCAGTTTGAATTCTTTGGAAGATTCTGACCAATCAAATACTGCGGATCTTCGTAAAAGCAATGTTTGATTTTCATAACCATGGTTCATAAACATTTTTTTTGTAATCAAGGTATTGTATCATAAACATTTTTTTGTTATTTATTACTGGCCAATCATCATTATAATAGTAAATCTTTTGTAATTATTCTTTTTAAGTTCACACCCCCCCCCCCCAAAAAAGAGCATAATACCATTTTTATATAAAGAAGAAAACAAAATCATAAAAAAAAAATATTTTATTTCCAGCGATTCACGAGAAACCCAGACCATTTATACCGCAGTATAGCATGTTGTCTGTAATGATGGACATAGAGTTTATGTCAGAAGGCGGGAATCTTACCGTCTGCTGCAAGGATTATACATACGCGTAAGTACGAAACAAAACGTGACATAAAATTTCAAACCAGGAGTTACGACGATTTATTCCAAAATTAAATCAGATGGGTTTTTAAACAATCTTTTATTGCAAAAGCGTCTTTTTGACAAGAGTGCACATGATCCTGGTCATATCGTTGCTTGCACACGGAAAGCGACGAAATGTGCGGTATTTCCACGAGTCTGTGTCGGACCAACCTATTTCAGTACAAGAGCGGCACAAGACTTTCAATGACGCCAGAAACGGCTATTTTGGTTCTTTGTAAGTAAATATAAGCCGAAACGTAATTTCAATGCATCAATTTTTATTATACAATTACAACTTCTCAAGATTTCAAAACGCAGTTAGAAGGACACCGAATTTGAAGTCCGACAGAGTTGCAATCTGCACATGCGCCTGGTTTAAGGTACATTTAGCGCAGTCATATTTATCATTTTTCCCAATGTTCATAATGCTAAAATTTTGCATTCACAGACCACGTGACTTTAAGTTGAACCCAATAGGTAACCCTATATTTAACACCTTTGATGTCCGAACCGGAACTCCGTATGCTCTTTCATTGATGAAGATGGGAATGTACCAGACTGCTACTGTATTTTCTGGTACGTAAATTATGGTTATTATTACACCTCACGTGATGTATACTATTTAACCTTGTATGGCGACAGATTGACAATGTATGTCCTCTATCAACCCTAGAGCTATGTGTTATTTAATACATTGTATATAGTATCATTGAGTTATATACGTATTTTTGAAACGATGATCTTATTTTTAAATTTCCATCTTACAAAGAATATATATGTACACTAGATTCCTAAGGAGATATGTACATTTCAATTTCTAAGGAGATATGTGTACTTTTGATTTCTAAGGAGATATGCACACTCTAATTTCTGAGGAGATATGCACACTTAAGATGTGTACACTTTTGATACTTAAGGAGGTATATAAAATTTTGAGGAGATAAGAATATACTTCTAATTTCTAAGGAGAAATGAATATATTTAGCAATATATTTTGAGTTCAAATAGATATAACCTTTTTATGATTTTTTAAGAAATGGCCATTTTATTATATATTAAAAAATGCGCTGGCTTTTAAATGTAATTCTACGCACTTTGTATTTTTCAGGAGACGTGTACACTTTGATAACAGTGGATCCGGATGTTCCTTATCCGAACTTCGGTACTGAAGAAAGACCCCTTCTACACGGCATGGTCACTAATATAATTAATGGCAATTTATCCACTGGTAAGAAATGGTATTAACTGGTAAGAAATTAGTGTGGTTTAGTTAATTATCAGTATGATATAATATAGTTAAATGATAGTATTATATAGTTAAAAATTAGTATAATATAGTTAAAAATAGTATTATATAGTTAAAAATTAGTATGATAGAGTTATACGAGTGTATATTTATAAGTAAGATAGAGTTAAATATTAGTATAGTTTAGTTAAATAATGGTATAATGTAGTTAAATTTCACTTTTTGCATAACATTAAAGGTGATGTTGGTTTGGCGTATCAAGGACCTGCTCCCCCGGACAACAAGCCTCACTACTATTATTTCCTCTTGTATAAACAACAGGCTGAGGTGAACGTCACAAAAATGATGAACTACGTCGGTGATAACTGTGGAACTAGGTAATCTCTTTAAGCTTTAAGTGTTCGGAATAGTTCGACACATTCGTAAATCATGAACTATTTTTTTTATAAAATTTATGAGTTAGTGTCCTGTTTGTAACTGCATTTAGCATTTTTAATCGTTAGTTTAACATATTTATTTAAGGTCGATTGTGAAACAAGTTCTTGCAAGTTATTTTAATCACTTTTGAGTCCGCATCCTGAAACCAACCAAAACTGATGTCATATAAAGAAACATGGTCGTGAACCAAGTAGAGCTCGAACCCATGGTTCCTGACCTGAAAGGCAGACACTAGGCCACCGCTCACCAATTTAACCATTATTAAGTACTTGTACAAACATATTACCATAATGAAACACAATTTCTTTTCTAAGCAGTATCGGAAAGATACATAAATAAATTTAAAAGAAAAACATAGAAAAATAAAAATGATTGGCCCAAGTAATTGAACCGACAGCCCTTATTTTCCATATTATTGACATTGATTATAGCAATCGCATCCGTCAAAATTCGGATAAGAATTTAATATTGATAATAGCCGAGTTGTTCGATTGTAATTCTGGCCTATTTAGATACTATTCAGACTAGAGGTAATGCACTTTTTTAAACAAAACTAACAGGTTTTAAGTATATGTCTTACTTTTTTCATTTACAGATATTTGTGTTATATTTTCATTTGCAGATGTTTGTATAACATAAACCTTGCAGTGGCGGAAAATGGTCTCACGCTCGTTGGTGCCACTTGGCTGCGCGCGACCACTGACGAGTATGTTATTTATAGAAATATTGAAAGAGACAATAACGAGGCTCAACAGTGTCAAGGTCGGGAAGGATATGAGAACCCATGCCCAGTTTCCAGTACGTGACTTAAACCTTCTTCTTTTGTAATTCATATTCAAATCCGCAAGCTTTCTAAGTTCACCGATCGTAGATTTTAAACTTACCTTCCATAGAAAAAAGACAATTCATGCAAATATATAAGGCACGCTTCGAAACTTTCCCAGTTCAACGATCATCATCTTTAACTTACCTTCCATAGAAAAAAAGATAATTTATTCAAATGCAAGAAAACTAAGTTAAAATCATGTTATCTCCTATAAAACTTTGGTATAGAGGTACAAATGCTGTGAACGTATAAAGTTAAATGTTTAAATGATTTCTGTCGATGAACAAATATCTAATTAACCTATTACCATATAAAATAGCCTCGTATCTGTATAGTTGAAAACAAGATTCCAACAGAGAAAGAGATGGAGAGGTTTTTTCTTCTTCAAAAGAACACACCCGGTTACGTCAACCAGAAACCAGCGCATTACTTGTTAGGTCAGCCACCACTATATTTTTTCCGTAATACACACACATATATATATATACCATATACAATTCTGTTATCTTTTAATTAATGAAAACCTTTTCAGAGGAGGCTTGTTCGCCTGACAACCGTGCACGTGACCTTAGCACGTGTCTGAAAGGAATAGAGCAAATCATGTACGATACAGACAACTTTTGGTTTGGTGACGATTACAGCAAAACCTGCCCGAGAGGGGAGGCTAGCGGGGACTTTTGTCATAACCCGAGCCCTCTTGGTACAAGCATAGCGACACGGGTGTTCACAAGTCTTGATGCATTGAATAGAATATCTCTAGATAGGTTCTTGAACTTGCATTTTGAGTCAACAGGAAGTAAGTTGGTTTATTTCCATATTTTTTATTTTTACGTATATAGAGCCTATTCTTTTCGCCCAATCTTTTTTCTTACACTTAGATCAAAATATAAGGTCTCTTTTGAATTTTTGTATACTGTACAGCACCGTTTATAACTGTTGGCTGTACATAAACGTATTATACTAGTATTGCAAATAACTGTTATTATGGTCATACAATTTGGCTTTATATAATACAGAAACTTTTCCATATTCTAGAGAAGAAATTATTTCAGGAATTTAAAGCATCCTTGTTTATAAGCTTTAAAACGTTACGATTTATCTATCAATAAAAAGAAGTTCAGTATTATAGGTCTACGCCGTAATTGTCCAATAGAAATAGAGGTTACAAACGAAAAGCAATACATAATGTTTTGTGAAAAATTCATATTTTAATTTGTAAATATTGATCTCAAATATTTTTGCCTATGAAAAGTTTCAGTAAAGATCAATCTATTTTTTAACTTTTTTAGAGGACTACACTGCTTGCGGCAATACATTCAAAACAACGGAAGTATGGAGAATGGACGTGAATCCCACCTCTGACGTCATCGTATATCCCTGGTACGTGAAGAATTTCCCGGTGACGGTTAGTTGGGACTACACTGCCGGGGACCAGTTTACGCTCATGGTGTATGATGTAGGATATCTCATTACACACGCTGTTTACACAAATATCCAAGGAAATGACATGACATCCGCAGACGTATGTTTACATTATAAATGTTTTTGGGGAAAAAAACTAAACAAAACAAAAACAAAACAGAACAGAGAAGCTTGCTTCTTTGTGTATGATATAACAAAATTTCTTTTGGTAAACTTGCAGCCAAAGATTGAATTGAATGTTATATCATATCTTATACATGTGTAACGACGTTGGTAGAACGTCATAATGAGCATGATAATATGCAAATACTTAAGTTGTTGAATTAACGGAAGGGAATAGTTCCCGTATATAAGGACACAAACCACTCTCGGTGGTGAGCTAGCTTTTCACCGACAGGGTTTGTGTGCCTTAAAAACGTTACACATGTCTAACTGCACGTTTGTAACGCCTGTTTTCATTGGACATTGAATTTAATGCGTTGACATGGCTGCTGAAAATGCATAAACCAATTTTAATCTTAATCAGAGAAAACAGATTTGACGCTTTATTAATTCGCTGTTTACGTTGTTTGTTGTTGTTGTTTTTTCGGGGGGGGGGGGCTGTTTGTTGTTGTTGTTGTTGTGTAAAATTCGCTTAGCGTCACCATTCTATTACTGGGGCATGTATTCCGTAAAAAATTGCATGGCTAGAAATTGTTTAAATGCTATCATTATACTAATTATTTCATATAAACATAAACAGATATGTAACCAGTTCTTGAAAAAACCTAGATATTTATGAATTACTTAGGGAAACAATCATATAAACACAAACAAAAACAAAAGTGCTATTGTAATCTAAAGAAATGAACCATTCAATTTAATAGTTTTATCTATGAATAATAGCTCTAATAATACAAATTATTCCCCCTTTTAACTATTTATAGGATATCAAGCCATACCATGGACCACTGGTTACCAATGATATGCATAACCCATATATATTCTTGCTCTTTAAACAAAACGGCCCAATCACGGTCTCTGAGGCGTGGAAGACAAAGGTTCGAGGTCAAGGTGAAAAGTGGACCATTGACGAATTTGCCACAGCGTATAACCTTCAAGGTGAGGTCGTTAATCCGTCACATTCTGAACCAGTTTAATAATTACCACGATTTGCATTAATTTGTTGCAAAAGGCGATTCTTTATGTTTTCCTTATTTTATATTTAGTGCCATTTTAATTATGAATTATACAATTCCTATTAATATAATAAATGTCCATTACATATATTCTTATACATGTAATATGTAGCAAATAATAACCTGCGACAAATTCTTATTGCGTTATTTAGGACCAGTTGCGGTGAACTGGATAGTTGCTACGGGCGATGAATGGGCAGCCGAGACCATGATGTCACGTCAGTTGTCAGCAAATTGTCCGGTGTTTGTTACGAGAGGTAACCTTAATTTATTTTCTTTTTGTTTTGATCTTTCTGGTCTGTCTATGCATAAATATATGCTAAAACTATACCAATAACCAAGTGAACACGATACAGTTGCCACGTGATAATACAATTATATCGTGACAATGATGAAATTATCAAGTGAGCACTATGCGGTTACCAAGTGAGTCCTATACAATAGCCACGTGAGAATACAATTATAACGTGAGCCTGATGAAATCATCAAGTGAGCACGATACAATAACAACGTCGTTATTATACAATTATAACGTGAGTATGATGAAATAATCAAGTGAGCAGGTACATAACAAAGTGAGGATGATATATTAACCGTATCACGATATAAATAATGATAAATAATCATGTAAAAATTAATCATAACCAGATTACATAAAGCACATAACTAGTTACATTTAACATTATCAGCCTTGTGAAAATCTGTTATTTTTTTGAAAATATTTTCAGCAATGCATGAAAAGCCACGGCCTTTTATTCCTCAAAATACATCATTGTCGGTATGGGTGGACTTAAAATTTATGACTGAAGATTACAAATATACAGTTTGTTGTAAAGAATACGAATATAGGTTTGTGACAAAATTATTTTCGTTGTGCTTTTTTCCTTGCAAGTCCATGCACTGTATGATTGTAATATATCTATATTTGGTTGTTAAAATATTGAAATAATTAGATTCAACGCATTGATTCATTGATAAATATGCTGCAATCGCGAATTCACAAAGTTAAAATCGTGAATTCTTGTAATTAGAATCATTAATTCAGGAATTCACTATTTTGAAATTGCAAATTCTGAATGTAGTAAACGTGAATTCATGAATTCAATATGCGGAAATCCCGAATTCATGAAGTTGTTGAAATCTCGAATTCTGAAATCGCTTATTTGTGAAGCTAAGTTCGTGAATTATATAAGTGGAAATCGTATATTCATGAATTCCATATGTTGAAAACTTATGGAGTTTGAAGCATATGTTTCTTGCGCCATTATTGGTGATCCCTAAGCAAAGCAAAGGGCATTATGGGGAGATCGATAGGCCCAAAGTACGGTGGTAAATGACACTAAGATCTACGTTGAACATAGCCTACATTATTTAATTTCTTTTTAACTTTACAGTGCCCGCGAGTTTAGTTTGAATCCCATTGGTAATCCAGTTTATCCCACCTGGGAGGTACGGACGGAGACCAAACATACTGTAACGTTCATGAAACAAGGCACTTATTCACAAGCTCAAAATTTTACAGGTAAAATTACAATGTTTCTAAAGGTGCATTAAGTCTCTGCCATGATTACCTTTTTTCTCTAAAGAAAAGCCAAACGTGTCTGTAATAACCTTGTTAGATTTAGAGAGCATGCTGGACACTATAGACATGTGAGAAAAGTGGAGTTGATTGCGAAACAATGATTAATCATAAAAGCAGCAAAACGGAAACAGAGTAGTGTTTTTGTCTTCCGTTACAAAATACAAAAGTACCAAAACTTAAAAAAAAGTTTAAATGCAAAATATGAAAGATCTGTTCGTCCAGTGAGTACTGTTTTCATAAATTGTAACAGTGCATCAACAATAAAAAGCTTCAACAAAAATAAACAGTTTTGGGGCTTCTGAGGCGGACCTTTACGTGTTTTATATTCAATTTCTTTCTTTCATCTCTAACCATTTTGAAACTAGGTAGATCCTCCTCTATATATGATATAAAATGTTAATTGATTATCTAACTGTAATAAGAATATAAGTTATGTACACATCATTCAATGTGACGTAAAATTGAAATCTTACAGTATTTGCTTTTAAAGCAAATTGACATTTTATTATACAGAGATGAATACAACATCTAGCTCAAAGAACTCGTGCATATTACCACATATAATAGATAAACAAAGTGAATGATGAGTATCGAGTTTTTGCCGTAAATATAGGTTTCATAGGATTGTTTTTGCAGACGACTTTTAAATGTTATGTCCGAATATTCGAATTCGTAAAAGAAAATTAGTGAATGATTAGCTGCTTTAATTCTAGAAAATGTTTCGTATAAAATGACCAATAATTAGCGTCTGAAGTCCTAGAAATATTTGTTTTCATGAACATGTATTGTAATGCTTTAAGGTGACTGGTACACCATGATCACGCTGGACCCTGACGTCCCTAGCAGCACCGCCGGAACAGAGGAACGCCCATTACTTCATGGTATTGTTACAAATATAATGGACGGGAACGTCTCAACAGGTAAATATGTTTCCTTTTGCTGTATTAGGTTTACTTTTCTGAGTGATATTAGTTTCGCATTTTTCTGTGTGATTATTTTCGTATTTTTTCTAGATGAGTTGTTTCGATTACTTCTAACTGCTTAGTTTCGTATATTTCTGATAGTTTTGTTTTTCTCTTTTATAAGTGTTCTGTATTCTTCAGGTCACGTGGGAAGGGCGTATTCTGGTCCTACACCGCCAGATAACAAACCGCATTACTATTATACTCTACTGTACAAACAAAAAGCATCTCTGAACGCGACAGAAATGTTGAATTATGCAGACAGTTCGTGTTCGGGTGGACTAGTTGGAAGGTTTGTGACATTTTTAATATTCTAATAGGGTTATGAAAGTAAAATGAAATGACAGTCTTTTTCATAATACATTGTAGCTTGTTCGGTTGGAAAAAGGAAACCTCAAGTGTTCAAATTGTTAAAAAAAACTCCAAAAACATGCTGTGATTTTTAAAAGCTATAAGGAGTCATGATATACATTGTGCATGCACATTTTGAACTTAACTATTATTTTGTTTAAATGTTTGGCAGGTCATTTCGTTTAAATATTTGGCATCTAATAAAATTTTAGGATTATTACTGCGAAAAAAATCTTTATAGATTCTATATAATATCAAAAGTAACCTTTTAAAACTGCTTAATATATCAAAATAACTAATACATTCCAGATGCTTATTTGACATTAACCGGTTAGTATCCGAAAACGACCTCACTTTGGTTGGAGCCACGTGGTTCCGGTCAACCACTGACGACTATGTCTACTATCGACAAATAGCGCGGAATCCGAGCCAGGAAACAACAATATGTAAAGGAGGGTACAGCAATTACATTGACCCGACATGCCCCGTTGCCAGTAGCAACATACTTATTCCATCTTTTGTTTCAATTTTTATTGTTGCTTTTATAGCAAATTTGTTTACATTTCCCCAGTGATTCATTTTTGCCAAATGTTCAGAAAAAATATTCTTAAGAAAAACGTACCTCTATAGTTTGTTTCAAAATCATATCAATACAAAAGTTGCTTAAAGAGGTTGATCTGTATATAATTAAGGGACATTAGCTTTTTTTCGGTGGCATTCTTTATCTAACTTTCTAAATCGTTCTATATATATACCTCTATATTTAATTCTAAATATGTTATTTTTCTAAATCTATATATCTTAAAATGTTATTTTCTAAACATGTTATTTTCTAGATATGTTATTTTCTAATTATGAGATGTGCTTACTTGTACAGCGGAAACTTCTTGCACTGTACATGTATACATAATAGAATCGTTGTAAAACCTACACATGTGACCAAAGGCTTCCAAATAATTCTTAAATCAATTATAATGTGTGTGCAATCAACCATTAAAATTAATGTTCAATTTTACTTTATGTGGAAGAGTACAGAGGTGTTTTGTTTACTCAGAATTATTATTTATAAACATAAACACGCGACTAAATTGTATCCAAACGGTTTTATAAATTTCTCAGTTCTATGTGCCATCCACAATGATAATACTTAATTTTTTATTTCCAAATTTCAGAATTCTGTTTTTATTCACCGTTTTTGTATCTATTACAAGTGTTTTATTATTGTTACTTAATCAAGAATATGTAAGAGATTTATATTGAATGTTATAATTGTCTGCAAAACGAAGAAACTACGCAATTTGTTTTAAAAAAATAACAAATCATCCTTATCGAATGCATTTTAACGGTAATTTGACAAAACATTTGTCCATGTGTTTTACTCTTATACTTTTTATAGCTTATTTTCTTTCTTGGCGTTGACAGCTGCGCAAATGTCATTTGCACGTGCAATATGATACCGGACAAATGTCACTTGCATGCTTGTTTGGACGAAACCTTGTTTATCTCGATTTGAACATGTAAGGATGATATTTTGCAAGCGTCTTTTATGTTTTCTTGGCTTGTTGAAAGCTTTGATTTTTGTTTGTACATGTTGGGGCAATATTTTGTGTTTTATCTTTTGCACGGCATATAAGTGTGTGTCACTTCTCGCAGATGTACTATATAAATCAAAATATTGGCATTTATTTTCAATTATAAGTATAAATTTCATAATTTTATGTTCGTCTTGGCAAAGATATAGCTGTATTTGTGTTTTGTTTATGTGTTTAATAAACTTTATTAATATTTCAAATTTTGTCCTTTAATTATTAGTTAACGCCGTGTGAATATTTCCCTTTTTCTATAAGCTTTAAAAGATATTCAGAATGTTCTATCCTTGTTGTTTACTTCAACACAAGTTTTGATCCCAAGTACTTCACCTGCGTCAACTAAACTTTTGGTAATATCTGAAATATCAAAGACAGGTAATCGAACGTTCTGTAACAGAAACATTTGATTAAATTTTTGAAAGAAAAAATAAGCACTTTATTTAAAGATCCTGTGACTCAATTTTTTTATGGTTTTATATCATAAATATAATGTTCAAATGAAGATTTATTAATATTGTTAGATCCAAAAAGCATAATTTGTAAATATTTGTTAAAAAAGGGAGGTAATTAAAATTATTTTCTATAAAGTCAAATTTTTCATTAAGAAATGAATACATTTTAATGATTACATATAATGTGGACAAATATTTAATATTTGCAGTACATATTTCACAGATTTTTTGTGTTTGAAAATTTTTTTACATACATACATACATACATACATACATACATACATACATACATACATACATACACACAACCTTTATTAAAAGATACAGGATTTTTAACATATTTTTACTGCAGTGATAGAAACGTTGTTTATGAAATGAGGAAAAAAATATTTTCCCATCAATACTGTTCATGTTATACGGCGACAGTTATGTTTTGAGACATGCACTAGTCCTCGGCTATTATCTTTAATATCCGATAATATCCGAAGACTGACGGAAAGAACCGATAAGTTGCGACATGCACTATTTCAGACAAAAGAAGTTACTCGATTAGAATCACGGACCTTAAGTACTGAATACGTTCTTTATCGTAAGAATTGAACTATTAACATTTAGGGCAAGGTATTCTTAACGTTTTCGTCCAGGAAAATTCTTAAAACTGAATGAAATTTTAATCAGCAAAAATTGCAATGATGTGTTCTACCTTAATTTGTCATTTTGTATGTAAAAACATTGGAAAAACATATTAATTAATTGACTGCTTTAATCTATATAGCATAATCTAGATTATTGTATTCGATAAAGTGAGCATTTTCTGCACAGAGAAGTGCACGATATGTCTATATGGTTGCGTGCTCGTGCGTGCGTGTGTAAACTTTACAAGGAAGAACTGAATATATGTAAACAATTCATTGGTCATTTAACAAGAGCTGTCGGTAGGACAGCAACGCTCGACTATTCTTAGTGCTTGATAGTAAAAAAAGCCTTGATTAAAAGGTAAAATTTTCTAAGTATAGAAAAAAAAGCAATTTGTTTCTTTTAATCCATATTACAATTATAGGCCTTGGAGAGAGTCATATTATGCTCTCAAAGATGAGTATAAAATTTCAACATGTTTGAAAGCCTTATGTCAATGAATTTTGAAAATAGTTGAGGTATTACAAAAACCTTAACGTAAATTCTAAGTCGAAAAAGGGGCAAAATTATGTCCAAATGCTTGAGAGAGTTACCTACTTCTGTCTACATGTAGGGGTCATGATATTGAATAAGTCTGCAAAGTTTCAAAGCCATATTTCAATGGACTCGGAAAATATTTGAGGTATTACAAAAACTTAAACGTAAATTCTAAGTCGAAAAAGGGGCATAACTCTGTCAAAACGCTTGATATAGTTACCTCCTGACTACATGTCGGGGTCATGATGGTGAACAAGTGTGCAAAGTTTCAAAGCCACATTTCAATGGACTTTGAATATATTTGAGGTATTACAAAAACTTTAACGTAAATTCTAAGTCGAAAAAGGGGCATAATTCTGTCCAAATGCTTGATAAAGTTACCTCCTCCAGTCTACATGTTGGGGTAATGATGGTGACCAAGTGTGCAAAGTTTCAAAGCAATATGTCAATGAACTTTGAAAATATTTAAACTATAACAAAAAACTTAAACATAAGTGGTTGCGCCGAAGCCGACGCCGACACCGACGCCGGCGCTAGGTGACTACATTAGCTCTACTTATTCTTATCGAATAGTCGAGCTAAAAATTACAATCTAAAATCTCGATATCTGATTGGTACGGAAGCCCTGGAGGGACATTTATTATTTAAAAACTATTACTAATTACCTATCCTTTATAAATTATCACTTATCATTTACAGATTATTACTTATTTTTAGTATTGAACCTTCCATTGTTTGACAGGAAAAAACTCTGTTTACTACGGAAGCACTGGAGGGACATTTGGTAGTTAAAAATTATAACATATTACCTAATTTTTTTATAACTTATCACTTATTATTTACAGACTATAAAAAAGTAATAAGCGATAAATAATAAGTTATAACTAATAAGTTATATATTATAATTGATAATTATGTTAAACATATTAAGTAATAAATAATACGTATAAATACATATGTTACTATATATAGTAACAAAATCTAGGGTATTTCAGAGCCATTATGGCAAGATTTATGCCATTATGAAATTTTGGCTGCCTTGCTACTCGGTATTATTTTTCATTAATGGGCGAGTGAATGAGCGCACGTGCAGAATGACATAATCAACTCTCAGTGAATTTCAAGATGGCTGCTGACGTTGAATGAACTGTAGTCACTTGCAAACAAAATATTCAAAATATTTTAAAAGTTAAATGGCATTATTTATCACAATCAGCAAAGCTTAACATTAAATATTTATAAATGCAAGACAATACATGACCCTCATAAATTCTAAAAAGTATTTAAGATTGACGGTATGAAAGAGATCGGATCGGTGGCATCAGTCTCAAAAACTGCACAAAACTTCTTAAATAACTGGAACTTAATCTAAATTAAATTCTCACAAAAATGTAAAGAGAAGGATAAAAATAAAAACAACAATAAAACAACATTTCCTTATATTTATTTTGTGTTGTCATGTTTTCCAAGTTAATCAGATAGTTAAACTGTACATGACAGGTATTTATTTACATTGACAACAGTTCGTTTCTTAGAAAGTGCCACAACCAAGATTAGCGGCAATGTCTGAACGCCGTATTTCGGACATAGGTATTAAAGACATTAACACTTGGTTGCTGCTCGCCATTATTCGATAATGGCCCTCGAGTTCATAATGGCCTTCAGGTCATTATGCATATCTTCGGGCCATTATCGCATAATGGCGAGCAGCAACCAAGTATTAACCTCTAAATAAATAATAATTCCCTTCCAGGGCTTCGATCCGTATTATATGACCTTCTATAAATAATGTTCTACTTCATCTTTTACGCTAATTGTTTTGATGTATAATACGGTAATTTATAGAATATATATATATTAATATATTACATATATTACGGAAGCCCTGGAAGGAAAATTATTATTTATTAGTTATTATTTATTAAATAATATGTTTAACATAATTGTCAATTATAATATATTAATTATTTTTGATAACTTATTATTTATCACTTATTATTTATTTCAGTAGAATATATTTTAGTTACATAATGATTTAAGAAGTATTTAGTTTAAACATATTTATTGCATACATTATATAATCAGACTACAACATAAATGAGGTATACGACTGAAATAAGTTATAAGTGATAAATAATAAGTTATAAATAATAAATAATATATTGTAAGTGATAATAAGGATAAACATATTAAGTAATAAATAATAAGTAATAAATAATAAATTTCCTTCCTGGGCTTCCGTATGAAAGCATCTTTTTGAAAATATTAAGATAAGAAATGTGTAAAATTGTGATATCGAAAAGAACTCAAACTTCTCAATTTAGCATGTGTCTAATACTTTGGATACTATGTATAGGTTAGAGTGCATATTGGGTGTTCTTCGTAAATAAGAAAGCTAAAAAGGAGCGGAGCTTGCAAAGCGACTGTAGCTTTCTTATTTACGAAGAACATCCAATATGCACTCTAACCGGCTTAGTGCTCCGCCCATTTTTTTCCGCCCAACACACTGCGTGACGTCACACGATAGCCTAAATGTGTATAACCATATTTGGAAGAGGTAGCGGTACACATTTACGGGTCACGTGTTTTGCATAGCTTATTCCCGCATTCTGTGTAAGTAAATCAGACAATATCACGGTGCATATCCATATCGGTACCCTCTTTGCGAAATATTCTCAAACGGTACCCTCTTTGAACATACACAGGTCATTCTCTACTAAAAACAAACCAGCGATGGATAACAATGCAGTAAAAATTCATTGTAATAAGAAAAGGATGTATAACACGTAGAAAGGAACACTAGAATTTTTTATTTATGTGCTGATTTGTCATGTGCCCGATTTTCATGTACTGCAACTTCACAATAAGCTACAAAAAGTCGACATGTCTTGCCTCGCCTGTCACCTCGACATATTTTTCGGGCTGAAATGAACCTGTAGCTTGATTATACATGCAGCATACATATTTATTATGTTCATATACATATCATCTTCGGACAAATTGCACTATATTGTCAAAAATAAATGTAAAATTAATAAAAACACCCTACTTTCGGTTTTGCAGCGGCACGGGCTGTAATATTTACATAAAAAGTAAGAAATATTACATACATATTTTGTTGGAATAAGTGAACTTTTTATTTGGAAATTTTAAAATGATACTGGTTCCGTAAGTAATGAAACATTTTTACTGTTATTTTGCCCGTTTTCATTTCAATGAACCTCTTTTTTTAATTCTATGCCGTAGTGACGATATACATGTGCGTGTACGGAAAAAACATGATGCATAAATATTGACTAGAAGGAGTAAACTTCAAGATCTCGGCACATGCGTATATTTCACTTTAGCGCTCTTCGAAACTTAGCTCCGCCCACTTGCGTTTTATGATATAAAACGTCCAGTTTATATAAAATCTGTTCTATTAAGATTTGAAACCTGAAAATTTGAAAAATCCTCGTCGGTGATTGGCTTAAGAAAATTGGCGAGCACTAAACATCTTTTATGTACCATTTACAGCCCCCATCGCTTAAAAAAATCGTTGACATGGAACAAACTATGTCGCAGCAATGGTTTTTAACATTCGTCGTACGTTTTAGCTACATCTGTTTACAGTGAAGTTGATCTTATGTATTTGGGATAATAAACACACGAAGTACTTAAAAGAACTAATTCAACACATCAATTTTCTTTTAATCAGTGATGTTGTTGTTTTTAATATAATTAATACGAACGTGTAATTTAAGTATCATCATATTGCATTCTAGTTTAAGGACCTACGAATAAAGATTTATTCAATTACATGTACATTAACATGAAAATAAATTTTCTATAGTTTCAGCTAGATCCCAAATATTGCGATCCCTCGCATAAATATGAGCAGACGACATCACAAAATGGCGCGAATCTCTCGCAGACGACAGCAAAATTTTCCGCGAAAACTACTTGGTGCTTCTTTATTTTATGGGCTCATGCTCGGTATTGGAATGGTGCAGTCAAAATCTCTCCTATGCAACTTGCATAGAAGTGTTTTAACCGACATGGCGCCCAATGAATTCTGGATGATTTTTGGAACACTTTCATTCCTTTTCTGGCTATTGAACTGTATGCTAGTGGAATTTTCTTCACGTATATTTTGCTCAGACCACCAAATCAAAAAATCGCGGTCACGTTTTTACCCAAATTATTTAGAGCCCAAATTTACAAGATCTGGATTAGTATATGGTTATATGTAAAGTTTTCTAATAAAATAATTTATTGAATATTTGTCTCTATCTTTTCTTATCTTAATACAATTGATTCAGCAACATAATCTATGGTGGCCGATTTGATACATTGCGCGTTGCGTTGTCGATAGCGACAATGCAACCTATATCGTTATCGCCTCTTCGTCTTATCGCTAGTAACAACACCACAAAGCGCCAAACGGCGCGTTATCGCCCTGTCTCTTGCGAAGCACGCCAAACGGCGCGTTGTCGCTTGGCTTATTAACCAATCCTTCGATTTGAACCGAGCGACAATGTGACATTGAGACAACACGCCACACGACAACGCGCCGTTTGGCGTACATTGTTAGCGACAGGACGACAAGAGGAAAGTCTATCAACGGGCCGTTTGGCGCTTTGTCCTGTTGTCGCTAGCGCCATTACGACGCACAGAAGTGTTCCAAATCAGCCACCATAATAAACACCTAAAATGTACAAGACGCCATGGAGATAAGGGGGCTACGTTGGGGGCCGTAGCAGGTCCATGACAGTTCCTTTAAACGACATTATGCTCTTTTTTTACTGTCGAGTTGAGTGGAAAAAGTAATAGATTGGCTATTATAATGTTGATTGACCAATAAGTGACAATGAAAAATGGGTATGGAACAATATAAATTCTGCCTATATTTTAAAAAATGACTGTCCAAGTTTTATTAAAATAAAATTGAGCTTATCTATACATTCTGGCCGATATATAAAGAAATTGCTGTTTAACATATGGGTTATAGATTATGTTTTCATAGTAAAATTTACAAGAGCCATGTCAACATGGCCATCCCCCGCCGAATGCGTTTGCTCATTGGAAGAATGTGTATGAAGTAGAGCAGAATACATGTAATTCAATTTTAAGAGGTCTTTTGGTAATGAAAAAACTGATGGCTGAAGTGATTACAGATTTGAAACATATGTGAATACTGATGGCTGAAAATAACAAAGGGCAATAACTCAAAAATAATGCAGGGTAGGTTATCATTCTTCTGTGCTGCACTTCTCCTCAATGAGATCTATCCACTTATGAAGTTTCAAGTTGATACCTCTAACACTTTTTGAGATAAGCTCCGGACAAAAAGTATGAAAAATAACAAAAGGCAATAGCTAAAAAATTGTAAAGGGTAGATTTATCATTTTTGCGCACAGCACACCTTCTCAATAAGATAAATCCACCAATGAAGTTTCATGTTGACATCTCAAATACTTTTTGAGTTATGCTCCACTCGGGTGAAAAATTATGTATGAAAAATAACAAAGGACAATAACTCATAAATTATGAAGGGTAGAGTTATCATTCTTGTGCACTGAACACCTGAGTGAGATATATTTGTATATCTACCTATGAAGTATGAAGTACCATGTTGATTTCTTAAAGGCTTTTTAGTTATGCTCTTGACAAAAATTAAGTATGAAAAATAACAAAAGGCAATAACTGAAAAATAATGCAGGGTAGAGTTATCATTCCTGTGTGCTGCACTCCTCTTCAATATGATCGATCCACCTATGAAGTTTCAAGTTGATACCTCTAACACTTTTTGAGATAAGCTCCGGACACCTAGTCATGACCAAAACCAGTGAATATTTCGTCACAGGCTGAGAAAAATGCAGTCTGATCGGGACTCGAACCCGGGAACCCGAACAGATCTGAAAAAAGTGCGCTCTTATAATTTCATCCCGGATCGTCCCGGATCATCCCAGTAACTTACCGGAGTGGTCCTGTGCTCTGTCGGGAGTAAGTAAGACAGCAGCTTTTCTTATGAAGTACTTTCACAGACACAGGTGGCCTGTTAAAAGATCAAATCGACTCTAATTAAGTCTGTAAATACAATAGGAACTAGGGAACGGACCACACTATTTTTTTTTTAAATTTTACATTAGATGCAAATGAAGTGGAATATTAAGGTTGTTTTGTTTTAATATCTAATAATTCAAATATACCGGTAATCATGTGTTGTATGTAGTAGTCATAAAACTTGTACATTTCACGAGTATTTCGTGCCAACAAGACACTAAATAATTATCATACAAATGTGTATTGAAGCGAACCGCGTCTACTACGCGCTGTACAATTGCAGCTGCGTAGCAGATGGCTAGTTCATAAACATCTTTATTTTTTCTTTTCTTCTTTTTTTGAAGGTAAAATTTAAAAGCTTGTTTTTTTTCTTCTTGTTTTTTTTCCGTGAAATATGCAATGATATAATTCTATACTGTATACAGTATATTTCACAAATTAAAATATATGATTTTATAATGTTTCGTGAAAATATATTCCATATTTCTGATGTCCACTTAATATTGATTTCCATATTTATATAGAACACTGACCCCCAAAAATGGCTGCCACTACATGTTGGCAATGGAGGTAAAAATCGGTTATTTTTCATTGAAGGAAAACTTTTTCTAGGTTATATGTTTATTCTTGGCGTTGAGCTCGACCATAGGTCGGTCCCATGCTTCATGCAATTAAGCAAAGTGAAGAAAGGTAAGAAAAAAAACGTTACTCTACAACAATAATGAATCGCCTTTAAAATGCCACCAAACATGAAAATTTATATCCATGAGTGGATTCTGAAAAAATCTGAAACTATAAAGTGCACACTTTATTTCGTGTTTATATAATTATACTTTCGTGTAATATAATAAGTATATTGTGTATACCTATTCGAGTTCGATTATTGTCATGTCTTCACTGTGTTTTATTTCCCTTATCCTGTATCAGTTTTTTACTTCGTCATACATTTAAATTAATAACAGGAAACCTGTGTAATTTATATAATTTGTTACATTTGACCGGGAAAACATTCAATGACCCCTCAAAGACACGTTAATACCAACCCGCTACACTCTTGAAATTCACTTGTGTACTTCAAAAATCTCGTGATTTTCGAGAAGTTTCATTTTGCAGTGTTGCAGTAATACTTCTGGAAAGAGCTGGACGAATGAAGGTAAAATTTTATTATTTTATGATACATATTAACAAAACAGGGGAGAATAAGAGTTCATATAGTGTTAAAGTACGTTATAAATACTTTAATAAATACTTTTTTTGTGTGTAATTTCCTTGTCAGGAATGTATTTCATTAATTAACCATGTATAATACGTGTGAAGGGCAGGGGAGTAAAATCTCTAACTTGCTGTATATAATCAAAAACGCTATTATAAATTTGCCGTAGCTTTCGGCCTTGCGGCCTTCTTAAGCAGCATTTATTTCACATACAAATGTATCAAACAAAACAATGGAAGTGACGTAACGTCAATGAACGACGCCCGCCGTGGCGTTGGTTGCCGTCTGTCGCGTTATTCTTTAGTATTAACTCCATACGGTCTATAGGTTCTTATATATATGTAGGTTTGTGAAAAATATTTGCATCTACATAATATATATAATATAACCAGCGATTAGTCGGACGCATTAACCACTCGACCACGCCTCCATGTCTTTGCTACTAGTAATAGAAAGAGCACCGAAACACGAGGCTATCTGATTTGTACGAGGGGGCGTAGCCCCCGAGTATAAATCAGATTGCCGAGTGTTTTGGTGTTCTTTCTATTTTGTATCATAGTCAAACATGACAGCACGTTCCCTGCTGTTATAATATGAAACCCCAGAAAAAATTAACCAATGAACGAGCATTTGAATATGATAGTTCTGCCCCTTTCCCTTTCTCTGCCGTCACAATATGTAAACCCCGGCAAAAATGAACCAATCCACGGGCATTATCTGGAGTGCGGGTAACTGATACCTGCACTCCAGTTACCGCACTGTGCATGTATATGTATACGATTTAACTCTGACACTTTTTCAACAGAAAGGTCCCCAAACTATGATACAATATATATAGTTGAGGGTCATTTTGCAAGGCCCGGAACAATGACACGGATTTTGCCTAGAAATTTGCAACTTTGTTAAACAAAATAATCAAAATCAATCTTTAAATCTTATAAGCTATTCACTGAAAGATAGATCTTTAGGATAATATGAGCCGCGTCACGACAAAACCAACAAAATGGGTTTGCGACCAGCATGGATCCAGACCAGCCTGCGCATCCGCGCAGTCTGATCAGGATCCATGCTGTTTGCTATCAGTTTCTCTATTTGTTATAGGGTTTGTAAGCGAACAGCATGGATCCTGATCAGACTTTGGGATGCGCAGGCTGGTCTAGATCCATGCTGGTCGCAAACCCATTATGTTGGTTTTGTCGTGACGCGGTCATATATGGAGATACATCGAAATCAATTTCCGAGATCCATAACTCTGGCAAATACTGACTGAATTATGTCCCTTTGTGAACTTGCAATATATTTGATTAAAGTTTTCCATCCTACACGACTGAATGCATTCACGTCAAACATAAAACATGTCTTCGGCATTATAAATGGAGAGTTTTTATCCAAGGTCCATAACCCTGCAATGTAATTCGACTGATTTATGGGCCTTTATGAACTAACTTAATGAACCTCTTGAGAGTTAAAGTTATGCATGCAATATCTATTTTTAAAACTACTGAAGATGTTTACCTTGACAAGTTATGCACGAGTTCGGGATCTATTATTCATGGCCCTTTGTGAACTTACGGAACTTACGGCAATATCCAATATTAATAACTTTGTCAGTTATCTTGAATGAAGTGTTCCTTTTTGTTGTTAATTCCTACATTAAATACTTGTTTTATTGTTTTTTCAACAGGATGAAGAAAATGATATGTTTGGCTTATGTTTCGTTGCTTCTGTTTGGTAGCATGCCAGTCAAAGGATCAAGTATGTTTTTCTTTGTTTTTTTTGTGTTTTTGCCTTTTAGTACACATGTTAAACACAATCATAGTCTAGGAACTTGCTTTAATATAGATAGTATAACACTAACACTGTGTTATAAAGCCTTAAGAAACAGGGAAAACGTGACCAGTTGATCTTAAGTGGCTGTGTAATATTAGCATTAAAATTACATGATAAAAACCTGTTACTTAAAATGTGACAGCTCTTGTAAGAGCTTGAACTTACTAAATCTCTCATTCTTTATCCTATTGCTTCTGCAGATGTTAATGTACAAAAAGATGCATTAGCACTTTTCCTGCATAAAAGAATAGTCTCGTGTTTCGACACAGACGCTTGGGTTGGGGGTCAGATGCTCCCCCCACGTGAACACTTTGTGTTAAATATTTTAATATTTAAAGATCCTGTATGTTTTGTGATTGATATTATCATTACTGTGTGTACCACACTTACAAGAAATTATATATGTATATAATTATGCATATAAAACAATTTTCAAACATCGTAGATAATGTAAAATATGTACAGCACATATGTGTGCACGTCATATGTAATCAATACATTATATGCATTCATTTCTGATTGGAAAATTTGACTTAAAATTTATAGAAAATACATTTCTAATTACCTCCCTTTATTTACATAAAATGTTAAATTAGGTAATATCTTTATAAATAATGCTTATTGGAACTTACAATATTGACAAATCTTAATTTTAGCATCATATTTATGAAATAAAACCATAAAAAAATGTGTTTCAGGATCTTTAAACACGAATGGGACATCTATTACAACGATAGAACTGGTTTTCAAACAATTTTTACATATATGAAAAAAATACTGTACACCATCAATTCTTTATTGAGATTATCATATAGATTATAGATCTGACCCCCAAGCGTCTGTGGTGTTTCGATGCCCTTCCTAAAGTTACTTATAGTAAAGTAATGACATCTTATATTATTATATGATCTAAATATAGCTGCAATCCCATTGGTCCAAACAGTAGTCAACAGAAATTTTTATAAAATCATATTCACTGGGTATAGTATCATATTCACTGGCTAAATTGGATTTTCCCAGTCTAAAAAAAGATTGAGACTCATATCCAATGACCATATATCGTAGACTGTTAATTATGCATGATTATTAAAAAAATATTGTTGCGTTTTGTTCTTTATGGTATATTTCTCGATTAAAATATCATTACTTTACTATCATAGTTAAAAGTTACACCGCAATGATGAGTATAAACTTGAATTACTTTTGTATGCGCAGCGTTCACGTAGTTGTTGCACGCCTTCCACGTGCGTCTTTTTTCCTGCGCTTCAACGAAACAGACAAAAATTGTACATGTATCAGGTTGTACTTTTTGTGACTTTTCCTATTCATATAATAAAACAATTATTGACTAGTGTGCCATTAAATATGATGTGATATTCACCGACAGAAAGTCATATTGACCTCGGATATGACGCCTCGGTCAATATGTCATCTGCCGGTGAATATCACATCATATTAAATGGCACACTAGTCAATAATTGTATAATATATGACAACTGCAGCTGTAATTAAACAGTCAATACATAAGAGTCTCAATCTATTTTTAGATTGGAAAAATCCTATCCAACAAGTAAATATTATACTTCACCTAGTGAATATGATTACGTAATAGTTGACTACTGTTTGCCAGATTGCAGCTATCTTTAGAGCTTTGTTTTTTTCGAGATAATACATCATTGGAAATAGATATTTACAAGGAAGACAAATTTATTATTTTTTTTGCTCAATTTGCAATTATTTTTCATGTCAAAGCGAAAATGTTTAAAAGAGAAACATCATGTATCAACTATGTACTCTTCGGAATACAAAGGTCTTAAGTGTATATTGAAATGTCAGGTTGTGCAAAAGACTATGTCCTTTTTACATCTATTCAGTTCTTTGGCGGGAGAATTCGCGCTTTTGAATTTGGCCGTCTGTGACTTGTTCTTGTTCTGGTTAAAATTTAAAAAGTACAAGACAATTTTTTATGAAAAAAAAAAAAAAAAATTAAAAAAAGAAAGAAATAGAACAGAAACCTTTAAGACTAGCATGAACGTGACTTATTACAAATAATCTGCTGGAACGTGATAGTGATTAGCCTTAACCACCAGTTAAGAAATCTGTCTGAATAGGCTTTATGCTGTTTGCATGCAGCTCCATATTCGTGTGTTTACATATTGAAATCTTTAAGACGGTTGAGTACTGTTCTTTATTTAAAGCTTGGCAATTACGTTACATAATTTTGGTAGACGATGCGCTTAAAACAAAGCCGCAACCACAAAACAAAATTGAATTTTGAATCGTTCCTTTTTTATTTTAGCACAATGTGATGTTGATTGGATACCCGGCACTACCAGTAATTTTTGTTACAAAGTTATAGAGAAAGGTAGAACATGGCAAGACGCTTCAGCATACTGTCGGCAGATTGGTAGTGAGCTGGCTTCTATCTCTGATGAAAATGAACAGAATTTTATAGCATGTAAGTCAATTATGAAATTAAATCTTGTTTACTTAAAGCTGCTATATCACACATTATAATTTGTTTAAAAAAATAAAATGCCACCAAAAGATAAAAATTTGTACATCTATATGGATCAGGGTGGTTAAAACAAACATCTATCTAATTTTAATTAACAAAAAATGATGAAAAACCTTGGAAATACCTAAAATATAGTGTTTCCATGTTAACATGTGGCCTTTCAACTGATTTTGGTGAAACAGTGTTGTTTTGTGGCATTTTTTTTTTAATTAACAAAAAATGATGAAAAACCTTGGAATTGCCCAAAATCTAGTTTTTCCATGTTAACATGTTGCCTTTCACCTGATTTTGGTGAAAAAAATTGTCGTTTTGTGGTATTTTTTATTTTTTAATTAACAAAAATGATGAAAAACCTTGCAATTACCCAAAATCTAGTTTTTTTCATGTTACACATCGCCTCTTATCTGATTTTGGTGAAAAATTGTCGTTTTGTGGTATTTTTCTTTTTTTGATTAACAAAAATTGATGAAAACCCCTGGAATTACCCAAAATCTAGTTTTTCCATGTTAACACGGGGCCTTTCATCTAATTTTGGTGAACATTTGTTGTTTTAGTGGAATTTTTAATTTGTTTAATTAACCCTTTACCCCATGCATGTCATAAGCATATTGTGAATAATTGCCATAAAAAGCCTCCAATTACAAGTTCAAACTGCTATGAAACTGTGAAAAATGCTTCAATACCGATGAAACTTGGCACCAATGTTTACAATGTTGCACACTGGTCTTAAAAGTAATTTTTGAACATTTTTGCTTTTACAGCCTTTATTATACGCCAAAAGAATTTCGGTGTATAGTATATTGTTATGTACCTGTTTGAGACGGTGTACAGAACATAAGTTTGGACTTCCTACAATTAAAATTGGCCCCATCCCAGGGATTTATTGATTCATAAAGACTAATATGGGACTTTTCGTGTCGGATCTGTTTCTTTTCAACAGGTGGAAGAAAATTCAAACAACTTGAAAGAAATGTTAAGCAAATGACGATTTGCACAGCGCAAGTTTGACTTTTCTCAGGTCAAGGTTAAGATCACACTTAGTCATTTTGATTCAATATCCAAATTGTCCGCACTGTATCTTTTGAACAGATAGAAAGAAATTAAAACTTTTTGGCAGAAATATTACTTATATTGTTATGGTGTGCAGAACACATGTTTGGACTACCTACAGTTAAAATTTGCCCCACCCCGGGGATTTATCATTATTATTTGTCGAATGATAACTTACGTGGTCTTTTTCCTTTGGATTGAGTTAGGGGTCGGTTGGGTCAAGGTTAGCAGTGCTAAAAATTATTTGTTTACTTTTGCCCAGGCAGCCTTTATTCATGGACATATGTCTTTGACATTTGGTAGGGAGATACGGTACATAACTCTGAAACAACAAGGGTTATCAACATGAAACTTTGTAAGAAGATAGATCTTATTGGGTAGATGAACAATCTTTAAGAACCGTAACTCTCACTAATATTGGATTGATTGCCCTTTGTTCATTGTTACACTACTTTTTGAACTGTGTGTGGCACATAAGTCAGAAACCATAAAAGGTGTCAACAAGAAACACTTAGTAGGTAGAAAGATCTCATTGGGTAGATGTGCAGTGCACAAGAACAGTAACTCTGCCTTGCCTTATTTTGGAGTTATTGCCCTTTGTTCATATTGACACTTTGAACTGGGGCGTCCGTGGCCGAGTGGTTAAGGTCGTTGACGTCAAACCACTTGCCCCTCACCGCTGTGGGTTCGAATCCCGACAGGGACTTTGGATTCTTTCATGTGAGGAAGCTATCCAGCTAGCTTACGGAACGTCGGTGGTTCTACTCAGGTGCCTGTTCGTGCCTGAAAAAATGCACGGAGGGGCACCTGAGGTCTTCCTCCACCAGTAAAACTGGAACGTCGCCAAATGACCTACACTGTGACGGTGTGACGTAAAACCCAAATCAAAAAAAAAAAAAAAAAAAAAAAAAAAAAAAACACTTTGAACTAGTCCGAGTCATAACTCTAATACTATAAGATATATTAACATGAAACATGAAAGGTAGATAGACCTCATTAAATAGAAGTACAGTGCAAAAGAATCTGAACCTTGCCTTGCCTATTTTTGGAGTTATTGCCCTTTGTTTATTTTTTCACTTTGAACTTTGTACGGGTCAAAACTCTGAAACCCCGAAGGGTATCAACATGAAACATGAAACTTCGTAGGTAGATAGATCTCATTGCGAGTATATATATGCAATGTAAAAGAACAGTTTCGTAACTCCTCGTTGCCTAATTTTTGAATTATTGCACTTTGAACTGTCTTGGACATAACTCTGAAACTATATACAAAGGGGATTTACATTTCTGTGTCCAAAACCTTTTCGGGAAGCATCACTCGTTTCAACCGACTCATGTCTTACACAACCTTTGTATTATTTTACTAATGTCTCTTAATTAGGGAGAACATGCCTCAGGTTGTCCTTAAGTTTGGGTGGAGTTTGGGATCACTGGATTCAAGGTCAAGGTCTGCATTTAATACATTTGCTAATGTTTTATTGGTAACTTGAATATTTTTTGACTTCATCAGAAAGCAATGACATGACAACTTATATATTTAACAATTACAAAACGTCATGACTCCGTCAAGTAATATAACTGTGTTCACATTTTTTGGCAATTGTTCTGTCTATTATTAAGAAATTGGGTAAACCTTTTTTGAAAAACTAGTACTGACAAATATTTTTGCCTGAGGCTTATGTGTTTAACAATTAGAAAATATTTTTACTGATAAAAATCTTGGAGGTATTTGTGTTTACCATACACGTTCTTGTCTCATGAGCAAAAGAATAACATACTATTACATGTAAGCAGCGTTATTCTTTTTTTATATATAAAATTAAACAATTGTCGCTTTCAATTAAGTGTTTCATGTAAATTTAGATAAACCAGACTACATTTTATTTTTTTAATGACACGCTATTATAAAAAGATTAAGTTAACTTATTTTTCAGCTTTATTTTCAACTCTTCCTTCTTACGTCTTCTGGATAGGAGGGACAAAACAGACACAAGATGGAAGTTGGCAATGGAGTGATAACACACCCTTTAGGTAAACAGTAGGCAATCAATAACACAACCTTTAGGTAAACAGTTGATAATTGGTAACACAACCTTTAGGTAAACAGTTGGCAATCGGTAACACACCCTTAAGGTAAACATTTGGCAATCAGTAACACAACCTTTAGGTAAACGGTTGGCAATCTGTAACACACCCTTTAGGTAAACATTTGGCAATCAGTAACACAACCTTTAGGTAAACGGTTGGCAATCGGTAACACACCCTTTAGGTAAACATTTGGCAATCGGTAACACACCCTTTAGGTAAACAGTTGGCAATCGGTAACACACCCTTTAGGTAAACATTTGGCAATCAGTAACATAACCTTTAGGTAAACGGTTAGCAATCGGTTACACAACCTTTAGGTAACATTTGGTAATCAGTAACACATCCTTTAGTTAAACAGTTGGCAATCTGTAACACAACATTTAGGTAAACAGTTGGTATGAGGTTTTCATTTGATATGTGTATGCATATTTTTGTATTTGGCTCTATTATATAAAGTTGATATGAATCGTTAAAAGTGCAGTCTGAAACGTTGATTACTCAGTGGAGTGTAAAAATGTCATTGAAAGATATCTTACTATATAAAATGCACCAGAGAGAATAATAGAGGTAGAACATTTTATCAATGCCCTTTACAGAGACTTAAGAATCGTAATGGCAGCATTCGTATTTAAGGACAAAAATCATAATTACATGTCCATGTACTTATCAAGATATGCGCTCTTATACATGTAGGATGATTCATATATTGATGTTGATCCTAAATTTCATTTCATGATGTATACTCACCTGATGGAAATTACATTAGGATAAAATTCCGTTTTAAGTCAACAATCCGCTTATAAAAAATTCAAGCGTCTAGTGATAACAATATATCTGTGTCAATTAGACGCACATTGTAAATCCCACTTCTGGAAGTTCTAGCCGTACGCGAGTCACGTACGACTAGCCAGGACTCACTGTATTGTCTAGCCGTACGGCACTTTATATGGAAGTCGAACATGCATATGTTATTTTGTGCCTCACGATTATGATTTGTTGTTTTATTTGTATGAAAGATGAATTTTGGCCGGGTTGCACTTGTGCAAACCCGGGTTATAGTATGGTGAATTTCGGGCGGCGGGCGGGGAAAAACTTTTCGTAACAGTTTTCTCAGCAACTACTTATCACAGCCTCTTGATATTTGGCATACAGCATTGACACGTAGTTCCAAACCTTGGGGTTTTATTTCAGGTTTGTTTCTCATCCATTTCCTGTTTACTGACTTAGTTAAATGTTCGACATTAATGGTCAGTGGTAAATTTTTTTCTTAACAATTCACAGCATCATGATATTTGGTATACAAATGCAACCTGGTCTTTCTGTCTTTAACCCATTTTTGTTAATTAAGCACATGGATCGAAAAAATAATGATCGGAGTGGAATAAATAATAAACACGGATTTATATTACAAATCCGTGATAAAAAGAACATTGAAAAAAAAAAAAAAAAAAAAAACAAAAAAAAAAAAACAAAAACGGTGAAATGCAAAATTAATTGTATAATTTTCAAATACAGTAGATAAATATAGAACATAAAAGCACAATCAATTAATTAGCCTTAATTAAAGCCTACCCAGGGAGTGACAATGCGTTTCACGGAACATGCAAACTTTCCTTATGTTAACAAACTTCTATACCGTCGTTAATTGACGCAATTATCAGAGCCCAACAACAATAATTTTAGTTTTTTTTTGTTTCATTTTAAAGGTGTCGAAAATTAAACTTAATGAAACAAAAAAGGATTATCATCAAAATTTTGTAAACTATTTCAATTGATGTTATTTAACTGCGGCCAAATGCTATTTTTTCTCAACGTCTTGAGATGACAAAGATCGATATTCGTACTTATTTTACTGTAGCCAACACGGCGATTAATCTCTAAAAAGTAAACATACGAAGACAATTGCTGTTTCTTGGTTAAAATCCTCGCTTAAAGTCATAAAATAACATATGCATTTTCGACTGCCATATAATTTTGAAAATGCCGTACGGCTAGCCAATACAGTGTGTCCTTGGTAGTCGTAACTCACGTACGGCTAGAACTTTTGGCTAGCCATACAATAGGTAAATTTCCCTTTGGACAAGATCCTTACTTATAAGACTTTAAAAAGGAGTGTTCAATTTGAGACCACATTTAATTCAACTTTTTGCCTGAATGGGATTAACCAAAAGTTGTAAAAGCTATTCAAAAATATCCTTTTGAACCATTGATGAAAACGTCACTGAAATATGTTACTTTTTAGGCTGTTTTTCTTACAGCAATTACGAAGTTTCCAAAGTCAGCAACTACAGGCATTAAATCTTGGAGAAAAAAATTGTAATTTGATTACGAATTTTATAATTTGATCCTTATTTTGATACTTTGCAATTCAGACTTTGTACAATTACATTCTACATATGCCACATTAGGATCAATGTAATTTTCATACATCAATACAAATAAAATTTGGGCGTCCGTGGCCGAGTGATTAAGGTCGTTGGCTTCAAACCACTTGCCCCTCACTGCTGTTGGTTCGAATCCCGACAGGGACTTTGGATTCTTTCGTGTGAGGAAGCTATCCAGCTAGCTTACGGAACGTCGGTGGTTCTACCCAGGTGTCCGGCGTTTGTGCCTGAAATAATGCACGGAAGGGCACCTGAGGTCTTCCTCCACCAGTAAAGCTTGAACGTCGCGTTATGACTTTTACTGTGTCGATGTGACGTAAAACCCAAAACAAAAACAAATCAAATAAAATCGGGTTCATTTGAATTTGATTCAGATTTTAGAATACACGGGGCATCATTACCATCATACTTATTATGGTAATCATCATCCAAATCATCATCATAATCATTTCAAAAATCATTCTTACCATCATCGCCGTAAACATAATGCTTATCATCATATCTACTGCCGTTATCACCATTATTATCAGCCTCTAAATCTCAATTGATCTATCATTCACTTGGAATTTTCATAAGTGAATGACAATGTACTCCTTATCACCACCACCACTACTATCATCATTAGAATCATCAATTTTCGCATAATTAAAATCATCATTATCAATGTCAAAGTCATCAACCCAGTCATCAACTTAATCATCAATACCATCATCAACTTAATCCACATCATCATAATTTATTTGGAGTTTCTTTAACTGGAAAGCAACGTTATCATCATCCTACTGCTCTTTATTTCCACCATTATCAACATCGTCTCCATTATCATCGTTTTTATCATTTCATCGTTTACATTATCATCTTAAACTATCATTTTCGTCATGTTATCTCAATCAATATCATCATCAGCATCATCATCATCAAATATTTAATCATTAAAGCTATCAAAGTCATTCTCACAATGATGATCAAAGTTATCACCCAAACAAGATATGTTTGTTAAACATGTATGCACCATATCTGCAACCAATTCGTCAAGTAGTGAGGTTATTGTGACTGACTTTTGACCTTTAGGCCAAAAATGCAATAGGGGATTCCTGCTGGTCATGACTAGTCACTAGGTCATTGTGACCGTAAAGGTTGCGTCCAGTGACCCTTAAATCCAGAGATTTTTTTGGCTTATTTTATAGCCGTTATTGGGTCATATTCCCAATTGAAAATAGGATATTATTTTCCCCATCCACAGGAAAATATTCCCAATTGAATGTTACAAAATAAAAATATTGAATAAAAAATTCTAAAATCTTTGAAAATAAGGGCTCCTTCTCTGTAATAATATACTTAAATGTTTGAAGATGCCATTCTATACAGTGATTGTTTGCATTCATTTAATCACTGCAAAATTTCAGTCATGCATTTTTTCCAAATTTTTAACAAAATAACACTAAAATTCTCAATTCCATAGGTATGGGTCATGTTTCCAAAATCCTGGAAACATCCCTGAAATCAATAGGGGTTATTTACTGACCAAGACTAATGCACCGGTAAAGGGTACATGAGTTTTTGAGATATCGATCAGAAACCATTTTTGTGTCGCCTCTACGGAGTAGTGGCGACATATAGGGATCACTTCTCCGTCGTCTGTCTGTCTGTCCGTCTGTCCGTCCGTCCGTCACAAAACTTGTCCGGACTACTCCTCATAAACTACTGGTGCAATTTCATCCAAACTTTACAGGAATGATCAGTACCAAGTCTAGTTGTGCATATTGTCAGCATTTGCCGGTTCAATGATTTTTGTCAGAGTTATTGCCCTTTAATAATTTTTAATTTTAAAGTTTGTCCGGACTACTTCTCTTATACCACTAATGCAATTTCAATGAAACTTTACAGGATTGATCTGTAGCTCAAGTCCTTGCGCATATTGCACGGGTTTTCCGGTTGAATGATTTTTGGCCGAGTTATGGCCCTTTGATAAAAAGGTTTTTTTCTGTGTGTTGCCAGATACACACAAGCTTGTCCGGACTACTCCTCATAAACAACTGGTGCAATTTCATCCAAACTTTACAGGAATATTCAGTACCAAGTCTAGTTGTGCATATTGTCAGCATTTTCCGGTTCAATGATTTTTGTCAGAGTTATGGCCCTTTAATAATTTTTATTTTTAAAGTTTGTCCGGACTAGTTCTCTTATACCACTAATGCAATTTCAATGAAACTACCCGGGTGTAGATTTTCCAAGGTTTTTGGCTCAAAATCCTTGGAAAAAAACCTCGGAGTATTGGAACAAGAAAATGCAAAACTTTGCTATTAAAAAAACCTTGGAAAAATAGGGAGAGGGTGAAAAACCTTGTAAAAAATTTCCGAGTTTTTATTAAAAAAAAACCTCGTAAAAAGTATGACCTCGGAGTATTGGAACAATTTCCAAGGATTTCAGAATAAAAAACCTCGTAAAATAATTTCCGAGGATTTTTTTTAGAAAACCTTGGAAAATGAGTGACCTCGGAGTATTGGAACGATTTCCAAGGATTTTTGAAGTGTTTCTGTGGTTTGTTTTCCAAGGTTTTTAAATGAAAACCTCGGAAAGTTTCTCACA